TTTTTTCCACGCATGGTGTTACATGAGTCCATTAATACACTAATTAAGTTTGCCCATGGAATATTATCTTCAATAGTATTAACAACTGCTTTAAAAACAGCTTCTGAATTGCAAGATTCCATCTTTAGAGATGCAAAATGATGAACTACAACTTCATTTTGATTGTTGTCATAAAACTGCACCAATATTGCCAGTATACTTTCTTGAGCATTGCTAGTACTTTCATCCAAATTTAGAGAAAATGGAGTCTCCTTTAAAGTTTTAATGATATTTTCCTTAATAGTTTTTGCGAGCCCATATTTCATCTTATAACATGCAGTAGTCCTGGACATTTCCAACGAGTTTAGTGCCGTCTGATCGCGGCTCAACTGTTTGCAGAGTTCAATTAAATTAGGAGCTACATTGAAAGAAAGAGAATTCTCGGCAATAAACGAAGTTATTAATACCTCTTGGCGTGCTTTTCTTGTCACTATATCCAATGGCCGAGCATCAGTCTCCAGTAAGTCATCAGTATTTTTTGAATTAGCATAATTACTTAAAGTCATTGTATGTCTAATGCACTTTGAATATTTTAGAATGATTTGTGAAAGCCTTGAATCCTTCCCCACCATACTTCAGCAGTGAGTTACAAAAAACACAATATGCTTGTCCAGCAACATTTATTTTCTTGCACCATGTGCCGATGGTATCCCCATTACCATCTCTCCGTTCAATCCAATTCCACCTAAATGCATTCCGGACACCTTCTTCTAATTGTATAATATCACTATTTATATCGAGAAATTTCATAGTGAAATTCTCTTGCGTACATAAATAAAAAAAAATATTTCAATAAACGAAACGAAAAATTTACACGTGCATCAATAAATGAAACGAAAATTTTACACAGCGGAGAAAAAAAAGTTGAGAAGCGATCAATGACAAATAGCTAATACGGCGAAAAATCCCCCTTCTCTACTTATTGGCGCCACGCCAGGAGAGATAAGACCTTTGAACCCAGAGTCACGTGATCGCACATCTGGTCGAACGAAGTCTCTCCCTTTTTTTTCTGCCGCGCCTACTTGCCGAAAAGAATCCAGAAGAGAATGTCCGAGAACCGGGGGAATGAGTCATAACTCGCAATAAGGAAAGAACAAAAAAGAAGTTTTTTTCCCCCTTTTCACGCATTATCACTGCCTTTGGAGAAAGAAAGGAAAAGTTTTCACCACACACACTGACCTTGCGTTTTCTGCTTTCAAAGCAAACAAAATTACCCAGATCAAAATAAATAATTCATTATTATTCCTACTTCCTTTTGAACACGATCCTCGCATTCCGGGGATCAAAGTTCAAAATCCCCGGAATTCCGGGGTTTCCCCGGAGCACAAACACCCCTGTTTCTGTGTGCTTTACTTCCTAACTTATCAATCTCTCAACAATTTACTTATTTGTAAAAGTTAGCCCCAAACACCTGACAGACGAAGCAAATTATCATTATGTCTGAAAGTAACTGCAAAGACAGGTAAAGATTTAAATAAACCTCTTATTTAAAAAGAACTCAGAACATAAAGGCATGTTCTTATGCTAGCAAAATCAACTACAGCTCATGATGATGTAATTAAACAGGCACTGTCAAATTCAAACTTAAGTCAGACTGCATAATTCAACTTTAATTTATGCTGGCTCAGTAACGCTATCATCATAATAAATTTAAATGTCAGCAGCAATAATGCAAAATGAATAATTACAAATTATCAGAGCTGGTAGGAACTATAGCAGCGTGCAAGAAGAAGCAGAAATATGCTCCATCTTAGAATCCAAAAACCTCAGTTTAAAAACTGTCTAAGTGATTTGCATTCTAGTAAGGAAACAGAGAGGAAGAAGTTGTACTAAAGGCTGAAATTATAAACAACTGGTTAATTTACATAATAGTAACTATACATATTTATGAAGAATAATTTTCTTTATGAATTCAGTTTCTTTTTTTTATTATGTTTCCTCTTCATTAAAAGCCCACCAGCGGCCGAGCGGTAAAGTCGCTGAACACTGGTAGTTCGGTCCTAGGTTCGAATCCCGCGAACGGGCTGGCTGCATGAGCGTTTTCGTGGTTTTCCCCATGTGTAACGTGTATACGAGCCAGTTTCCCTTAGAAAGTCCTCCACGAAAGGCATCCCTCCCCTTAGGCAGATAGCCCTAGTGTGCTTTGCCATAATTAAATACACACCACACCTCTTCATTAAAAAATTTTTGGATTTAAGTAAAGATTTCTGTTATTCTAAAATACTAAATGCATTTAGAATGCACAGAAAAGCTGCGAATTTCATTTTTTAAATAATATGAACATTCTGAATAAATATGAAATGATATATGATAAGGTATTACAGAACCAGTGTGGGAGAATTTTTAGAATTTAGTGACACATTGAGCAACAAAATCCAGAATTCAGGACAGGCATGGTGAGCAGAATTTAGGAAGGCACTAGGCAGCAGATTTTAGGATCCACAGAGATTGCATCAGGTGGGAAAATGCCTAGCTCCAGCCCTGAATATGATGATTCGCATAAAATTTGAAATTCAGAGTTCTCATTTTTTTTTTTTTTTCTTTTTTTCTTTATTAGTCAAAAGTCTTTAATCTGGACATCTGTAATCAGGAATGATCTATAATCCAGACCTCAAAGCTACAAACTTTCTGCGCATGTGTGTTTAATGTATAACGGACGAACAAGCTAAGCTAAAATTATCTAATTATCTATTTCAGTTAATGTTGCAGATTGCTTTGTTCCTTAATCTTCTAATTGGATCTGGCTTATTATTTTTTGCATACTGTTAGCGCAATTTTATAAAAGTAAGCTTGAACTTTCGATTATGTCAAAAAGAATTTCTGATTCTCAGCTGCCAAAGGATCTACAAAGCGAAAGCATGTTTCAATGTTCATCAAACAAAAAGTGGAATTGCTGCAAAAAATGGATAAAGGCATATCCTTTGTTTCTCTAACCATTCCGAAATCTGTTTATCAATTTCATGCTGCTCTGCGGGTGTGGGGGGACATCGAGGCCCGCAATGAACTGGAAGTTGATCTGTCAGCACTATCCTTATCTTCATGGCAGATGTTTTTATTTTATTTGGCATTATTTTACTAAATGTAGTATTTCATCTCGATGTACTCCGTCTTTGATATGATTTAAATCAAATTCCTAGTCATTATAAATATCACGAATACACATTAAATTGTTTTCTGGTTGCCATTTTCTAATTTCGACTATGCGTAATGTATGTTTTACACATGCACACGTTGAAAGAAAAGTTTAATAAAGTAAACAAATAAATATTAAGTTTTTTTTTGTAAATTTTGATACCCTTTAGATCATAATTGCTCTTTATTTCATAAATTACAGTTTCATATTTTAAATTTTATATTTCTGCATGCCCATCTTACCAGATTTAAACTTATGATCTATAATCCAGAAAAACCGATAATTCGGAATTGCCGAAGTCAAGACGAGTCCAAATTAAAGACTTTTGACTGTAATAGAAAAATTCCCCTCTATAAATGCCTGTCCGTGTGATAAGATTACAAGCAATTTTGACATTTTCCATGCTTGTGTCTAGTGAAAGGTAGAAAAAATAAATGAAACATAAGTATGTTAAGGAAAAGCCTTTTAGTACCAGAAGTAAAGCATTCAAATATTATATTGTTCTTCTAAAAATTCTCCAAAAAGAAAGAAATTCACCACACATTTTCAGTGAAATACATCTATTGCGTGTCAATACCATGAATACAATTTTAATTTTGTCACATTTTCTGGAATCTTCTAAAATCATGGTTTTATAAATCTTGCCTTCAAATCCTGCCAATTTTGTACCAGCCAAAAGCCACAAATATTTTGGGGGGAAAATCAGGGGGAGTGTAAAATTAATTTTATAGAGAAAACTAATGCACATTCTGAAAATTCTGAGATAATTACTTGGGAAAAACTCTTACCATGAAAAAATTAAAAAGAAGACATTTACATAACTATTTTGCTTTTGCTAAGAATTGTTTTGTAAACTGTGTTTTATATCTGTGGTATAATACTTATTATTATTGGCAGCACTAAAATTATACTACATGGAATGACCAGTTATTCTTTGTTTAAATGTTGTTCTCATATGTAGTCTTTGATGTTCTGTTTCCTGTTCAGTTTTAGTTAAAGCTTCATTTCATCTTCTTAAAGAAATTGATTTACTATATTTACAACAATAGCATTTATTACCTCGTTTATTTTTCAGATTCAAAATATTGTATAACAAGTTGCCAAAATGGAAAGCAGTGTCACTTTATAACATGACAGCAAAAAATAAAAATGTTTCATTTTAATGTTATTTCTTACATACAATTTCAATATAACAAATTTTGTATAGAAACTGATCTTAAAATTATCAAAATGTTGGTAAGTCACCAAATTTAGAACCATTTAATAAAAGAATAAACATCCCCCAAAGTGAAAACTGTGCAAGAGCTCTGCATTAGGGGGGGGGAATTGAAATGCTTATGTTTCACTTCTTGCCCAGAAACTCGAGTATCTTTCTGCTTATATTAGAAAGAGGAACAAATTATAGCCCATAAACCCATTCAAAAGATAACCATATTTGTCAGTAAATCGCCAAACATATTCCTCCCAAATGCCAATTCATGCTCAAAATGTCAGTTGTAAAAACAGACAGAAATTTCAGACGACTGAAATTAAGTACGTTCTGCTGATTTTGTCTAAAATTAAGGACTTTTAAGGACCAAAAATCTAAGTACTCTTAAGGTCTATATGAGCTTTCAGTAAGACTATTCTAATCACAAATTACCTATCTTTTCATATCAACCTTAACAACAGATAAATATTTACAATTTTCAAGAACAATTATATTTTACTTGCTTAATATCCTAATTTGAAAACAAAGCTGATAAAATGCAAAGAACATTATTTAATTCTAACTTCCTTTAAAATCTACAAAAGATATGAATTAAAGATATCAGGTAAATAAAATTACCATTCTTCCTTTAATGTGACTTTCAAATGCTACACCTCTATGCCTGGAACCTCTACAGTCTATTGCTATCACAACATAGCCTTCTGTTGCCAACAGGTATTGCCTTAAATATCTGCCAAATGAAAATATCACAGTACTTATAATGCATATACCCTGTTTATAATTTATTTATATACAAGTTAAGCTATAATTAAAATTAAACATTTTTGATTAATACTGCAAACACCAAAAATATTTAATCTTGCCACACCATATTTTGCTTATTATTTATACTACACTGGTGTGCAAAACTTAAGCAACATGTGTTCTTTTTCCCATAACTCCATGAGAAATCATCTGAGAGACATGAAATGAGAGACACCATTTTGTATTTAAACGGTGACGGAAGCATGGTTGTGCAAAAATGAATACAATGCATACAGTATGGTATCAAACAAAAAAAGTCTTAAACTCATAGTATCATTACACATGATTCTCTGTACAAAAGGAAGAACAACAAGGAGATGTTCCTTAGTATGAGATACGACCTCCCCTTACTGCAATGGTTGCTTCAAACCATCTCTCCATAATCAGCACCAGATTGTCACACAGATCTTGATGTAAGAGTGCCCATTCGTCAATCAGCATCTGTTTCAGTTTTTGGGTATTCCCTGGAAGATGTAATCATGCCGCAAGGCATCCCACACATGTTCTACGAGATTTAAATCAGGGGAGTACGCTGGCCAATCCATTCCAGTGATATCTTCACTTCCCTGTAGCTTCTGAACAGCAATAGTCTGGTGTGCCTGTGCATTGTCATCCATGAAAACGAAGTCTTCTCCAATGCCACCTCGGAACAGATGCATATGGGGAAGGATCACCTCCTGACAATAGTGATCTCCAGTTTCAGAACCTCCGTCGAAAACATGAAGCTCTGTCCGCTTGTTCAGCATAACACCTCTCCAGACGAGAACTCTAGGACCACCATAATGATCTTTTTCCATGATATTACTAGGATGAAAGCGCGTCCCAACCTCTCTCCAAATCAACTGGCATTGAAAATCGCTTGTGTCACTAAAACAACTTTGATTCGTAAAGAGTGCACGACTCCATTGATGAGATGTCCAGTTTTTGTGTTCCTTGCACCACTCTAAATGGTGGTGCCGATGGCCAACTTTCAAAGGGATGCAGCATTCAGGGTGGCAGGCGAACAGGCCACCTTCGTTAAGCCATCTGGACACAGTAAACTGCGACGCTTGTCGCCCTGTTGCTGTACACAATTGCTGAGCTATGGCGCTTGCTGACCAGTTTCGGGCTATTTTCGCCTGAAGGACGATATACAGGTCATCCACTGCAGTTGTTTTCCTGGGGCGGCCACCACCAACCTTTTTAACAGCTGTACCTATAGTTTGGAAAGCTTTCTAAACATGTGAAATGACACTTTTGCTGATTCCAAACTCTTCAGCTACACTGGCAACATTGCACACCTCCTCCAGCTTTCCGATCCTTCTTCCACGTGTGAAGTCATCCAGGTGATTTCTTCTAGCCATATTTCATGAAAGAACTTACTTGCAGCGAATGTCTTTAATTGCATCTCCATTCTTCCTTTTATTGTTTTCTTGAGTTGAGCGCCTTGACCGCACACGTTTTGTGTACCCTCACGTCGCCTGTGACGTTTTGTTCTTGACATTTGCATACATACGACTTTTTGACTGAATTGCGTGTTCATTGTACCGATCGCAAGAGCCCTTTTTCTGCAATTTCATGGCTATCTAATTAAAACTTACAATGTTGCTAAAGTTTTGCACACCAATGTAATTATTGGTTAGTGGCATCAAGGTATCACTTTGACATCGATCTAACAGTCATCAGAAAAAGAAAGGTAAACAACTTATCTTAATGAAAAAGCCACTGTGAACAAGTGAAAATTTATGTTAGAAGTTTGATTGTTGAATGCAAAATAAATGTGGTTCTGCTTTATTATAATTCCACTTTATTTAATTGTCATTTTCAAATAAAATCCACTTTTTAATTTCGAAGTCAGAGTAAGAAATAATATAAAAATAACAAAGTAAACTGAAAAAGTAAATAATGTAACTACTACAAGCAGATTTAAATTTACTTCAAATATAATTCAATTTCACTCACAATAAGTATATTTATCGTAGAAAAAAGTATATCAAAGAAATTAAGTATAAATATTCTAAATTTCGAAAAGAAAGAAAAAAAAAAAAAAAAAAAACTTTGATTCTTTAACCCTTTCAGGATGGGCGCCCCGTATACACATTCCCTAAGAACATCTCTTACAGCCAGGCGTCCCATCCAAGCATCACTAGAGATTGCACTCAGAGGATGGGTGATGCATACACGCATTTTATGCTGGAATGTTTTTTTTGAAGGCCACTAGATGGCATCCTATGTCTATAACTTTTGAAATGAACACCGTTTTAAGTTCTTGACCTTGAGTTTAACATATTCTGCCTGATGTTGGTATTTTACTCATCAACTGTTGCGAGGGGGGAAGCATAAACAGAGGTGGGCTCTTTAAATCCCGGCATGCTAATATAAGCATTTGCGTGTCTGATTTATATCCAATTCCCTTTTTTTATTCTATTTTTTCCCCTTACTATGTACTATCTTTTAGGGTTACTTTGTAAGGATCTTAAGTTTTACTAACGTTTATTTTATTTTAAATCTTTACTATCACTTCTTATTTTCTTCCGGCCAGAATTATAAGCGTTAAGGTTTTTATGCAAAGTTTGTCTGGCAAACGCCAAGTATTTAAGTTGTGGCTTTTTGCCAAGCGAGAGAGAGGAAGCAGTGAGTCGAAGCAGGCCGCTTACCTTAGAAGTTTTACGCAGTTGCTTGTTGCCTTCCAGGCCAGAGGTTTTAATCCTCTAGATAAATTTAAACGTATTGTAGTGTTCACAGTTCTCTGTACTACATACGCCTTCCTGTTAATATAAGGCCAATCTTCCACGTTTCTTATTCTAAAGTTAAATTAGAGTTTAGTTTTATTTTTATACTTTTACGTTTTGACCCGAAGTAGTGGGTCGGTGTATTCCGAAGTACGGAAGTCATTGTAAATAGAGAAAAATAAAGGGTTTTGTATACCCTTCTTGTGCATCCTGTTTACTTCCCACAGTTTTGAACATAGCTTTAGTAAGCTCTCTGTTCCGAGTCAGGTCCTTGCATGTTCCCGAAGAAGGTAAGAAGGAACATTGAACCTGATAACTTATGTAGAGTTATGTTTTGCATTGCATTCAGATATATTTCCATTTCTTCTCTTTTTATTTCGGAAAGCCTGACCTCCAGCCTATTAAGGCCAGAAGGCGCTATTTATCAGAGGAAGAATACCCTCGTATGGTTAATGAACCATTTACTAATGCAGATGAGAGTGATTATTCATTTTCTAAAGAGTTAGAAAGTGCTACTTCTCCGTGCTTGAAGTTTTACCACAGTCTTCATTTTAAATTTTGTTACTTCTTACTGTAAATAGTCTTTATTGTGTTGTTTTATTAACTTTAAACTTTATTGAGGGATTTTATCAATTAAAATTTTGGAATAATTTGAATAGCGCTTCCGAAAATTATTTTACAAGATAAGCAATTTTTTAAGTATATTTTCATGTAAAGTAAAGAAAAAAAAAAAAAAAAAAAAAAAAAAAAAAAAAAAAAACGTTATTAAGTACTAATTTTAACATATATAAGAGCTCAAGTAATATTCTAAAATGATACCAAAAATTATGATGCTAGAAGCGTAACTTTTCCCCCCTTGATTTTTTGTTATAAAATTAGGCTTAGCGATGCAAAATCTCTGTCCTGTACGGTGACTGCCTTTGATTCCCTTCCATTCCGCATGAGCATCTTAAACAAAGGTGCACCGGTACGAAAGGGTTAATGATTCTTTAAGTGAAATTAATAATACAGAAGAATGAATTAAATTAAAATATAAGACAAATAATTTAACATTACAGTAGTAATATTTAATATAAAATGCCAGTAATTACTATAGAAAAAAAAAAAAAAAAAAAAAAAAAAGGTCAGCAATATCTAATATAAATCTCTTTCAAATTACTGAAAAAAAGTCATTAAATTAGAGTAAATTCAAATGATTCTTACAAATATAAATACACGATATTCAATATTTAAATGGTTTATGTAATGTGTATAAAGGATTACACATCCTAGAAACAGTAAATCCATGCATATAAGAATTAGTGTAATGCTTAAATAAGAAGTTTCCTTTTAAATTGGCCTCACCAGTGGCCGAATTTTTAAACCTGCTGAATACTAGAAGTTTGACCTGGTTTCACCCCAAGCCAACAGGCTGACTGCATGGTTGGTTTTCGTGGTTTTTCCTATGTGCAATGGGAATACAAGCCAGTTTGTTTCCCTTAGAAAGTTCTTCACACAGTCATCTCTTCCCTTAGGCAGACAGCTCTTGCTTGTTTCGCTATATTCAAATAACTTATCCCTTTTAAATTGACCACTATAAATATGCATACATATAATATGTGCATACAATCTACAAAGAGAAAGATTATTTCAATAGATTTTTAATTATCACAATAATGCCATATTTAAATTAAAAAGAATTCAAATGGCTTTTTATGCAAGCACGTATATTTGCATATGTATACATAATTTCCAGTATGTGCAGGGAAAAAAGTGCAGAGAGAAATAATAATTTCTCACCTCATTCCTTTAAAGTTGTTAGTCACTAATTGCACTTCTGGCCCACCATAAATAGTTAGAACTGTTGGATACTTATCTCCTGTTTTCATATTGGGAGGTTTAAATAACATTCCATAGATTAAATGACCAGACTGAAGCCTGTGGTGGAATAACTCAGGCTGACGATAATTAGATGGCACCGCTACAAATTTAAAGATAATACAGCCATTGCAACCAATATATTCCATATAAAATATCTAATAGTAATGATTTTTTTTTAAAAATGAATAAATTTAGATGTTAATTAAAAAAAATTATAATAAATATATTTTTCAAATTTCAAAATAAATCTCCACAGATATGTATGTGTGCATATATGTTGAAAATCCTTAATTCTTATTCTAATGAAAATGCATACATATAGGCAATTAAATATAACATTCCATAGATTATATAACCAGACAAAGAAATATATATACAGTACAAAGTCCAACCCCGATATTCCGATTGATCTAATATCCACATCTCCTGACCATCAGCTAATAAATAAATAAAATAAAACAAAATAATAATTTAAAAAAAAAACCTCTTCTTATGAAATCTAGGAATGCTTAATAATATCAACAGAAGGACACAAGCATGCCATAAATTTGAACTTCCTCTGACTAATTCTGATTCTTCCATGTCACTTAATGTGGAGGAGGACAGGGTTGCCACTACACATTCCTAAATTCTACTGCTCAATACTTCCCTAAATTATTAAAATTTTGTTTGTCCTCAATTTGCCCACCCTAATTTTTGGTGCTTAGTGCTGCTCTAAAATCTACAATTTTTGGCGCCCCTAAATTCTCTAGTGCAGGCACTGTTGAGGAAGAGGGTTAGTATTCTTCTATCTGACCTAAACAATAAATGGAACTGCAATGTTGGCATGTTTACATGCTATCTTACTAGATTTACACTGATGATTTAAATCTGGAAATATCCAAAATTGCTGTAATGATTATTTTTTTTTTACTATAAAAAAAATCTGGAAATTTTTCCTTTTTATTCTTGCAAAATCTGAAACTAGACCACCATTCTCATGGTAATAATTCATTATATCAAATCATCTACAAATTTCAAAGTTTCTAACTCCTGAAAGTAGGCGTTATTGTGTTCACAAACCCAAATCCACCAGTACATAAAAACCTGCATACAGGGAAAACAGAAGTTGTAGCCACTTTACCTATATAATTTATGCTTTTTGCAATAAGAGAATACAAAATCTTCATTCATATATTTTGGTTATTGTAATTAACTATTTGAACAGTTGAATTCAGTACCCATCTCAAAAACATATGTTGCAAATGTCTTGTGATGATAATCAAGAAAAAAAATCTATGAGTGTCTCCATTAAATCACGGCCATTTCTTCCATCAGATATAGCATTGAAAGATGTTTTATTTATTTTCTATGTTATAAACTGCTGACTACTTTAATTTGGGAAAAATATGTACTTTTTAATAACATTATAATAGCTTTTAATGGAGACAACCTTCCTTTTGTTTTGTTTTTTTATCTAGATAATAATTTTTTATACCTCAAATTATTTTATTTAACAGTGCTGAAAACTCTTGTGTTGCATTTTGCTTTCCTCTCAGAAAACTAAGCATTATGCATTCATTATTAGGCATTAACTACATTATGAATTCAGAAAAGTGATCATTAGGTATTCATTAATCATTGGTAATTATGAATTACATAATTACCTATAAATAATGAATTGTGACCATAGTGTTCCTCCCCCCCCGATAAACTCTTTCATATGTTAAACTGAATTTTACAATAGAATTAGATTTTTTTAAAACCAATAAATTACCTTAATAATGAGAAGATATACTTTTACTTACCCGATGGTTCTAGAAAGTACCCAAGAGCTTGTAAGCTTACTTTGAAAGGATAATTTACAGAATAAAATATTTGATACACTTGGCCAAATGGTGTCTGACTTACATTACTCTGAATGGACACAAAAAGAGTACAATCCTAAAAGAAAGGAGAGAAAAATCAAACATTATATAAAAAAGAAATATATATATATATATATATAAAATTTTGCAGGGTATTAAAATCTTTTATCAATAATATTATATCAGTTTTATATATAATGCTTACATCATTCATAGCAACATTGTGTGAATATCCTGGAGTAGTCAGTCGAATTGGTTCTTGAGGATTATCAATGTCTACAACATAGCTGTAATTGAATTAAAATGTATAGAGAGACAGAGAAATTTAATAAAAAGTAAATATAACTGCATGATTATTGCAAAATGCTTTTAAAAATGATTCATTATTTTCATCCAAAGGATACTTTCAATAAAAATATATAAAAATTTTTCATATAATTTCAAAAATCTTATTAATGACACTTAATAAAAGAATCAAATAAACAAGCTGAAGTCCAACAAAAACTAGGAATATTCTTAATGTGCGAGTGTCCAAAATTAAAATCTATCCAGAATATCCTCCACAGAATAAATTTTTAAAGAAATTAAATCTAAAATAAAATTCATGGATTACCTATCCACTTAAACGGATTGAAAGTTTTGATAAAGTCAAAATTGTTTGAAGATAATACATTAAAAATAAATTCTACACATAAATTGAATACAATCAGCAGGGTATAACATATTGTAACTTTAGACAAAGTAGAATCCCAAGTTTTAGAACTAATAGCAACAGGTTGTCTAATAACTACAAATATTTAAACCTTATCCTCAGAGACCCCATACATTTGAAATAATATATATAAGCTTACCAGCTAGAAATATATATATACTCATGATTTATATATATATATATATAATCCTACTAACTAGAAATCAGGAAGTTACCGCTTTCTTTAAAGTGCTCTTCCTTAAGTATTGCCTGTTTAACTTGCACCTCAAATTTTATCAGAATACAAATAAAAACCTTTTGTTTAAACTACAAACATATTTATAACATAACGTGGGATATAAAATAAATAATACTTTAAAAAGTACCCAAGAAAGGAAGACAGCTGTGATGAAAGCAATGTACTTCAGAAATAACTACTTATTATATTAAACTAGTGAAAACATGCTACAATTCATTCAACTGCATTCCATTCATAACAATTAAGTGGTTCAAATGGTACATTTAATTTTAATATGGAACTTTATGAGAAAATTTTTGCAACCTAACCGTTTACTTACGCAATTAATTTCTTTTTGAAATGAAACTAGAACTATCTGACTTTAAATATAATTTTTTTAAAGAAAGCACATGAAAACAAAGGAGTCATTAATTTATTATCTGTTCTTTGTACAATAAAGAACCTTAATATTTCCTGAATAAATCAATGAATTATAAATGGCATTTTTATATTTTAATCTAATTTTATCTAATATTTGTTCCACTTCCTACAATAAATTCTAATCCCCCCTAAAAAAGTAAGCATTCCCTGCTGGAAGTACCATTGAGAATAACCCATAATGAGGAATAATCTGTAATTAACAGAAAATACAATTAACAATTTACTTGTATTTTCAAGCAGCTTAATCTGGAGAATAAGTTTGCTTAGTTATATAAATTAAATCAGCATTTAAAACAAGAAATTTCAGAACAGAATGAATAATGTTTTTGTATATATTACTTTCATATTTCAACAGGAATCAGTGGGGAAACAGAAGATAAATGGTTGTATGCTCAATTTATTTTTATGATTTGGCAGTTTGTATTGTAAGCTCTTTTGCTTTATCCGATGCATTTTATTCTCATTTTTGTATTTCCCATAAAAAATTGTTTCTTAACTCTGTTATCTGTAACAGTAATATTTTTACCCTTCTACAATAAGCAAACTTGTTCTTTTTTTTGGGGGGGGGGCTCCAGTTAATCATCACTTGATTGTATTCAACAGATGCTCCTCATTTTCCACCCACAAAACAGTAACCTTTTATTTTTTGAAGCAGTGTATTCTGTTCCCATTGTAACAAGGGTAAAAATTTTTATCAATTGGGAAAAAGAAAGTATGAAAATACAAAAGGCTTTATTATCTCAAATGGCTAAACAGACCACCCAAAAGTGTCAAGACCATAAAATTCAGAATATTATGCAAAAGGAGAAGTGTTCGAATTAAATATATAATAATATTCTTTTATGATTTCCTACATTTATATCAAGTAATTTGAATTCAGCATAGAAATCTTTCTGCATATGAAAAATGCAAGTTACTAATTTTTCATCTCTAAACACAGAAAGGCACATAAACTGTTTCATCATATACAGATCATAAATTCTTTCAGCATACAATAAAATTCCTTGTTTAACATTTAGGTTACAATAATATAGAAATTGCCATTAATATTTTGTATGACAATACAGGGCTCAGCTATCTGTTTGTTGAAGGTTGCCAACCCTTGAAAACATGATTCACATGCTCATGCAGCTTGGAATGGTTTCCCTTTTAAAACTAAAGAAAAAGGCTGGATGGATCACCACTGAGAACCTGGTGGTGATATTGCATATAATTAATTCCGTGCAGCAAAACTTTATGCATCAAAAATTTTTACAACTCAAATATATGCTATATTATAAAAATACACAGGATATCTGACTAGAAAAAATGGAGATGGGAAAAAATAAAACACATATCCAAAATGAATCTGTTTTTTGCATAGCTGGGTTCCTTGGGAAGACTGGCATGAAAAGGACTTGACTGCTTTAGATTTCTTTCCATGGCCTTCACTGGGCTTGATGACTTTAGATTTCTTTCAGTGAGGTTTGTGAAAGCAAAATTACATCGAATGTCTGTAACCAAACTTGCAAATTCCCATTCCTAAAATACAAAGGCAATAAGGCTGCTTACCAAATTAGTAGTGGAATGAGTTCAATTATCACCATGACATAACCCAAGCTACAAATCACACTCAAATAGAAACGTACTCAAACTATTTGAGTAATTCTTCTCAGCTCCGTAAACCACAATTTAACTTTGATTTTGGATACATGCACTGCTCTTTTTTTCACCACACTTTTCCCAGATGTCCTATACTATATTAATATCAAAATATTATATAACTATAAATTCATGTTACTAAGCAAATATAAGCACCAGGGTTGCCACTCAAACAGGAAAACAAAATTATCCAACTTTCCCAGGTTTTCTAGGTATGTTTTACGAAAATTCCAGTCTAGCTAAATAATATGCATTGACTGTGCTAAGGGTAAATGAATTACAGTACCACTTGGGGGAAAAAAGGTAAATTACAAATGAATTTGATTAAATAAAGTAAAATAAAAAAAACTTTACTTTTGAATCTCCAATGCATTACTATTAGAACTATAATAGGAGTTTTTCTCCTTAATAACTTTCAAATTACGTTTTTTGCAAAACTAAAAAAACTTACAACAATATTTGAACACTAAACCATCATTCTTTTCAACAGTCAATTGTATAACAAAATTAAATAACTCCAAGTAAATTCCCTTTTTAACTACACGAAAAGATTACATAATACCAGGAGTAATTGTTTGAGCTTCTGAAATATTTGCAGTCACTAACACTGAAAGGCATTTATAAAAAGATATCACAAATATAATTAATTAAAAGCCTAGCTTAAGAATTAATTTTGCATGCATAAAAAGACACATTTATGACAGATATGAAATATTTATAATACATTCCGTTTAAGTTATGAACAAAATCAGAAATGAAATTGAGTTTTCAATGCAATGTATAAATTTTTAAACATTGAATTTTCCCACCATTAATTGTGTAAAAAATTATGATGTCATGAATGACACAGCTTTATTATTTTAAAAAGTATTACAAATAATTCTGGAATGGAAGCTATTGTTCACAAAATTGCAGTAAGGCCATGCACACTGCAAAAGTTGTTTGCAGAAGAAGCACATCGAAGTAAATGGTTCCCAGTTTCTTTGGCATGACCAGTCACGTTGTGATAGTGGCATTAGAACAATGCAGGACAGCAATGCAAGTCAATTCTGAGTGGTACATGACCACTTTTTTGCCAGAAGTTATCGAAGACATTCAAAAAAGGCAGAAGAGGTTAAATCATCCTTCGTCATGTCAATGCCAGCTCTTACACATCGCCTCAAACAAAGGTAATTTTTGACGGGTCAAAACATAGAGTTGATGGGTCATCTGCCATACAGCCCTGATTTTGAACCCACTGACATTTTTTTTTTTTATTCCTTCACATCAAAATAAATTACGTGGCCAGTGATTTGCAACACCTGAAGAAGTGGTTCATCCATTCAAAATGCATGTTTTGGAGCTACCTCAATCGGAGTGGGAAAAATGCTTCGAAAATTAGTTCAAACACATGCAAAAGTGTGTTAATCTTCATGGAGAATATTTTAAAAAACAATAAAACCAGTTTTGATGATAAGCATTTTTTTTTCGTTATTAAGCCAGATATAAAAATAGCAACCCTTATACCAACAAACAATTTCAATGCCAAACAACCTTTTTCAAAAGTTTGTTTTTTTTATGAAGAAAATCTGTGTGCATAGTGTTACAGTACAACATACGAAAACATTAAATATTATAACACTGTATGATGTTTTTATACATTATACTATACTACTTTCTTTTACATATGTAGGTATAACAAATAATGTATGAAAGCACCATTCAATCTCCACATATAATAAAAGAGTCTGTGTGTCTTTCGTTCATGCTGCATGTAAGCTAATAGACCCAGAGCTATGCAATTTGGTATATATGTGCATCTAGACAACAGCCAGTGCACCTCGAAGCAATTTTTTTCAAAATTTGAATCAGATATTTTAAAATTTTATCTTTTCGATTTTATTGCATCATTTTGAATAGTTTCATTATTTTATAAATGTGGTTTTGACAACAGTTTTTCATTCAATTGTATACTGGACTGCTGACTGTTTAAAAATAGAACTGTTGCCACTTGGAAAATTGAGGGCGATAATGCCATGCAGTTTTTAAATTTAATGTTTCTCTTGGATATTGGACGTTCATTCAGAGAAGGCAACAGGAAGTTAATTAATTTATTTATTAGGATAATTAATATTTGTATTAAGAGATATTGCTTATTTCATTGTAATTTTGTTATATGTAATACACTTTTTTTTTATGAAGTTGTTTTGCAGAGTAAAATTCTGCGCAGTTTTTAAATTTAATGTTTAGTGTTCGCTTCAGGCATTTTTCCTGTTCATTTAAAAGCCAGATGAAGGCTAGTTAAATAATAATCTTGAACCACAATAACAATGTTAAATAAATTTCTAGAATGTGATTGGTTAATAACTGTCAATTTCAATAAAAATGCACATAATGTTATTATTGTAGCTTTTATTTTGTTATGTATTAGTCATTTGTGTTACTGTATCATTTCTAGCATATATTTCCAACCTCCAATACATTTTTGCAAAATTTAACTACTTATTTGCAATCTCTGCATGGATTTTGTAGTTCCCCCCCCAACAAAGTAATTACTGGCCCAATAATAATAATCCCTAGACACTTTTTAATAGTAGAATATATTAGACTTTTTAAGAAAAAGTTAAATCATGTATTTGATAACAGCATTTTAGAAAGTGTGTCTGAGATCAAAACTTAGCATTCCCATTTGCATCCCCTCCATAAATTAAAAAGGAAAAGAAAGAAAGTGATGACCATTTTCAGGCATTTGGGATAATGTTACATGAATTGAGGAGAGCTTTTAAGTGGTAGATTTTTAATCAGATATACAGGTTTATACATAACAGAGATATTAGCTACCTTTTTTGAAATTATATCATTAAATACCATAATTACTTTAATAATATTATGCCCTTGCAAATAGCTATGAACAACATCAGCTAGAAAGCAAAACTTTTTCTACCAGGAGAAAATATTACATCTTACAAAGAAACTCGCAGAATTTTAAGCAACAAATGCGAATGGCTACATTCAACATGAAAATTAACAACTGGAAAATTTTTCATCTCTCAGACTAACTTTAAACAAAGATTGAACTTTATAAATTAAAAAGTGTCTTAACAAAGTAGTAACATAAAGTAATAAAGTAAAATAAAAAATTCCATGCAATTACATTTCAATAGTGCATACTTACAGATGTCTCTCTAACGGCGTGTCTTTTAAAGCAATGAAATAAACTAATCTTTTCTTCTCATTCACCCACACCTTTAAAAGCATCAGAATGATATCTGATTTAAAATAACATGCCAAATAGTGATGATTGGAGAAGTTAACGTAACAAGAATCGGGGTAATATTGACAAATGTGTAAATTTATGTCCTGCAACTAATAAAGTACTGTGACAATTAAACTAGCAATAAACTAGTCCTGCAAATTTATGATTATGCTAATTCTTGTTGCCTTAGCTCCTCCAAAAAGCATAAGAATGATTTATATATAAAAACAGATATTTTAAATTATTCAATAAATTTAAGAATACAGTATTACAAGCATGTTAACTAACAAAAAAATTAATACATTTTTTAATATCACAAACATAAATGATGTTCCTTATTATGAATAACTAGAAGATAAAAGCATAAACAGGGACATTTCATTATATAATTTAAATACAGAAGTAACTAAGTTAAAATTCTATTTTTATACATGTACAGTTGCCAGTGCATACTCAAGAACAACAAAGACATAACATGTAGAAGCACTCAATAATAAAGGAATCACACAACATTGCAAGCAAGCATTTTGTAGTTTCAGATTAAGCTGGTACATCTTGTAAGCTTAGAATCTCTTATGCATGTTTTCAAAGCAGCATCACTCTGCATATAGAAGTTGATGCTTGCTGCTGATTTGTGTATTAGCAAACTAACAGTGTTCAGCTTTTTTTTTTTTTTTTTTAAATATATATATATATGTGTGTGTGTGTGTGTGTGTGCAAAGGCAAAACACAAAGAATATATATAAAATTTTGTTTTTCATTGAAAAAAAGTGCATTGAGACTATTATTAAGCTTCCACAGCCTTTTAAAGATTATTCTGTGAGTAAATTGTAAGTAGAAGAATGATTTTTCAGATTCAAAACTGGCAACATGTAAGACAAAATCTATTATGACTTGGACATCTACTGATACACAGTGCAAAGAAACGAGAAAAAATGGAGAAAGTATGGCAAGCTGCTAATGGAGATCAATATTAGCACTGAAAGCTCGTTCACAAGATTTCTGAAGAAACTTTTCTCTGAAGATTCAGGAAGAACATGCTGCTTGTGTCACATTCATGCTACTCTTTAATACTTTTTCTGGCTAAGTGTGATCTTTTCTACTTCCATGGATAAAGAAAGATATGAAAAGCAATTCAGTGGTGTGGATGAGACTTTCCCTTCCCCAAAAAGAAAAGAAAGAACAAAAAGTGCATTGCATGTCTTTAATATTTCATATGAAGAGTTCCAAAACTATTTCCAAGCTCCAAGCACTAATCAAAACATTGGAAAATTTATTAATGTTCACTGAAAACACTTTGAAGGAGAATAAAATTTACAAATAAAGTATACTGTTAAATGGCAAGGTTATCTAATGCATAAAAAGTCAGCACAATAGCCGAATAAGTCTCAAAATATATATATTTTTTAGAACATTACAGAGTTTTAAAGTTATATAATTCTGCACATAAAGGACCTTTTTATAGAATATTATAAAGTTATATAATCTTGCACATGAAGGATTTTGTATAGAATATTACATAGTTAAATATATGTAATTTTGTACATAAAAAATAATAAGACTGCAATTCTCTTTGGGGGGGGGAACAGCAAAACTGAAATGATATTACGCTTACATCAACTTCAGAAACTTCCCAGTCTCCACTAGTGAGCGGTACTTTTTTCTTTAGTCTTTTAGATAAATCCACTAAAAATAAAAATATTAGTCTGTTTGTAAAATAATATAAACAAAAGTATAAATTATACTATACTATCTTTCAAAACAAATACTTTACCTTCCTGAATAAATGCAGTATCTGTAACTTCACAGTCACCTCCAAAAATAAGTTCTATAGCTATAACATACAGATGCCTATAGCCAGTTTCTTCACTAGCCCAAAGAAATGTGATTTCTCGACTATTGTCTTGTGTGAAAAAATATAAGATATCATGAACCTACATAAAAATTTGAAAACTGCATGTCAGTTTTCATTTTATAAAAGTTGAGCAGTTTCAAATAAATTATAAAACCAATAATATATTATAAGATTTATTCTTTTAATTTACATCATAAAAATGCCACATAAACTATTTTAGCATAGAAACTATAACAAATAAAACCCCCAATGAATACATAACAAACTCCCTGAGCTAAGAGTAGTTATTTAAAGGGTAAGTGCTTTTCAGATACAATGCAAAAACTTACGGCACAGCAAAGACATAAACCAACAATGAATGAAAAATAATAAATGCAATTTAATGTTGCAGAAGGATACAATAGAAGGATACAATAAATTATATAACATAATAAAGAAATATACATTTAGATTATCAGTATTTTTGCTTCAGTTTTAGCCAGTATAGCATCAAATTAATTAACACACAGAACTCTGTATTTTTATACACTTTTAAAGAACAATTATATGACCAAACAAAAGCAAGAAAGGTGTTATTCTACAGTTTCTCACAAAATAACTTTGTGTATTCTGCTTTTTGCAACTCCTAACAGAAAAAATTTTTAACCTCAAACGTTATCAGAATTGATATTATTGAAAAAATAGATTAATGAGGAATAATAAAAACTTATTGAAAACCAAAGTCTCTCCCAAGACAGACATTATGAAAGATAAATCTCTTTAGACAAAGATTTTAAAAGAAACATTCAAAAATATATAGTTGATACAGTCAAAAGTCGTTAATCCGGACTCGTTGTGAAATTTCAGTAATTTAAAATAAAATTTATAAAAACAACTCACACAAAGTGAAAATATTTCCTACCACCCTTCTCCCTTTCTAAAAGGGTAGGGAACTAAAATACTGTTTAGAATCTTGTCAAGGTTTTGGACTCTCAAGACCTTTCAGATCTTTTAAGCTTAAAAAAAGGAAAAGGAAAAAAGAATGTGTAATATAATACAATAATAATCTCATTTGAATTTTTATTTTACATAACCCTCGTAGACTTCTTCATAAATAATTTGTACAACAGGATTGTTTTCAACATGATTGTTGAAATCTAAAGATGGGGCCTTGACACAGTGAAGCATGGTTTATTGAACTTAAAGTGATGGCACTGTTGGCAGATTGACTTACAAAACTGCAAAAAATATCAGAAGGAAGCCAATTAAAATTACTATTTATTAATGCTTTATACAAAAAGGATATAATACTATATGAGATTAAATTAAATATTGAAAAAAGGCAAGAATTTATTTGCACTCCACAGAAAAAATTTAATTCAAACTTATCAGAATAAATTGAAAATTTTAAGCGGATAATAAATACGCAAAGTCTCTCCCAGCCAGACATTAATGAAGAGATTCTTTGACAAAGATTTTGACATAAAAATATATTTTTGAACAGTCAAAAGAATAGGGACTCGTATTCGCGATTCGGGTTATAGTCATCGTTTAAATCTCGTTGATGTGCCTTTCTTTTGAAACCATAAGTTTGAAATAAAGAACCTTGTCGAAGGGTTATCAAAAAAAAAAATTAATATTTAAGGTTACTTATAAACTTTCTTTCAATGTAGTTGTTAAGTTGCTTAGAGGAATAAGGCTCTTTAATTCATAAATAGAAAATTCTTGTCCGTTACAAGAGGGGATGTTCAAGTCCGAAAGCGTGGGGAATACGGACTAGTAAGAAATTTTTTCATTCACTACCGGAGTGACATTCTTCATGTCTTTATCTAGAGAGAGCAATTCACTTTTTGTTTGTTGGACAGAAACTACTTTCGTTTGTGATCTTTGATAGTAAGCATCGGAAATTATTTGACAGAGTCGAAAAGTAGAGTGTAATTTAAAAATTGGAAGGCAAAAAATGATAAGCGGGAGAAGAAGATAAGGAAACCAATCGCAAGAAATGCGGAATAGATATTAGATAAAAGAACGTCCGTATATACATAAAGAGGCGAAGGTATTCGGCACTTGAGCAACGTTGCGCAAGTCAAGGTGGACGCGCGCGTAAAACGCCTGTGCGCAGGTAAGCGGCAATACGCCAGAATAAAAGCTTTGAGGTCCGAAAAGGGATTATGGTGTCCGAAAACGATTTTGACTATAAAGAAAAATCTTAAAATCTTTGAAAAAGGTTTACCTATATAAAGAATGAGAAAACTATGATAAGAGCTAAAGTATCACATTTAATGGTCCCCCCCCAAATTTGTTTATTTAATTACAGCCTTTTGAATTTTCCACAAGTATAAAATCTGATTATTATTTCATGACAAAACATCAAATTCAAAAATATTATATGTTTGGTTTACATATAAAAATTTTTATATCCCCCCTTTTTTAATCGTCATTTCAGATCTGCAACAAAAGGAAGAATTGTTATCTGCAAACTATTCATTAATATTTAATTGATAACAGATTATAGATGATAATTCAAAAGTACCAGCTGGTTTGGTTTGGTTTAGTTGATTATGGCAAAGCATATTAGGGCTATCTGCCTAAGGGGAGAGGTACCTTTCTGGAGGACTTTCTGAAGAAAACTGGCTTCTATACATATTACACATGAGAAAACCATGAAAAGCCCATGCAACCAGTCCATTCACCTAGAATCAGGTCAGAATTAACATTGTTCAGTGATTTTACTGCTCAACAACTGGTGAGTCAAAAGTACAGCATTAATATATATTGCTGCTACTTACTTCAAAAATTTTCTGTCAATATGAGGGGGTTACAAAAAGTTTCAATACTAGCTCTGCAGACAAGAAACTATTTTGTCTCAGTGGCAGATCTGAGTTCCATACAAATTTCATGTTCACTCTTTGTAGAAACTTAATGTTGTATCACGAAAAATGTAATGCACAACAGTACAAGCTCCACAATACAATGCTCTTGGCATACTGATTTATGAAAGTCGGTGCTCCCCATGACTATACATATGACCTTGTGGCACTACCGCTTGGCATACTGCAGAAATAGTCTTAAAACGTTTTGGTACCATCTCATATCATTGTTGCTTGTTTTGAATGTTACTTCTGTTGCAGATCTATGCTTCATAAAATTCTTTGATTGATGTGCTAGATGCCTGAAATAGCTTCTGGGTTGTTGGCATGGGCATTTGACAAAGTAATAATTGATTCAGAAGTCAAACAACAAAAATCAGCGTTAATTCACAAAATTTTCACAGGACTAGTTTCGATGGTTTTACCGAACCATCATCTTCAGCTGCAAAACCGCAAATGAACAAGATAGGAAATAATGTTTAGAACAAACACATTTTGTTTTCCAAAATAAATATTACAAGCAAACTGAGGGAATAGCCATGGGAAGCCCCCTCAGTTCCCATCCTGGCTGATATCTACATGCATTATTATGAATCAAAATTGTTTGAAACTTTAAACTTCCCGGCATGGTTCCGCTACGTAGACGATACTTTTACCCTGTTTGAAGGTAATAAAGATGATTTTAAATAGAGTTCTTTCAACAATGAATTCTATTGATCCTGCTATTCAGTTTCACTTTTGAACTTGAGACTTGCAATTCTCTTCCGTTTCTCGACATTCTGGTCACACGTAACACATCCAACTTCAGTACTACAGTTTTTACCGTAAACCTTCATCGGTTTGCCTTCCACCACACTTTAAAATCATGTCATCTCGCGACTAAACAAAAGTTAGCTTCATTTTATTCCTATGTTTTCCGTGCTCTTCAAGTTTGCTCCTCCAAACTAGCCCTTGATGAAGAACTAAATTATTTAAAAGCAATAGCTATTGACAGGGGCTTTTCACCCAACATTATTAATCAAGCAGTTAAAAAATTCTCATCTCAACACACTAAAAGCCACACTCTTATTTAGGAGATTATAAAAATTCTGTTGTCATTCCCTTCTTTCCATCAATTAGCTATAAAGTTGCACATATTTTGCAGAAATTTAACTTTCGGGTTGTTTACTTTACTCTCCCATCAATAAAATTCCAACTTCTTCTATACTCAAGGACCCCATTCCGGATATGAATTCCTGGGGTATTTATAGGATTCCTTGCCAGTGCGGTTTAATTTACATTACATTGGCCAAACTAAGAGAGCCTTAAAATTTCGCGTCAAAGAACATGAGGCATATGTTAGAAAAAAGGAAACACAGAGGTCTTCTGTTGCTCAACATTGTTGGTCCGAAAATCACACTTTCAATTTTTTTTCTGCTGCCAATGCCAAAATTATTCAAAAAACATCTTCCATTGGAGAACTGGATTTTCTAGAGGCATTTTCACATTCATAAAAATCTTTCTGTTCTAGTTAACGATCCTAATTCCAATCCAAATTTGCCTTCGGCTTTTAGAGAAATTTATGTTTTAGTTCTGGTTTCGCCAACAGATGGCGCCACTTGCTTATTCTTGTCCAGGCTTTCTTATCTCATCTAAACATTATTTCCCCTATCTTGTTCATTTGCTTTGCGGTTTTGCAGCTGAAGATGATGGTTCGGTAAAACCATCGAAACTACTAGTCCTGTGAAAATTTGTGAATTAACGCTGATTTTTGTTGTTTGACTTCTGAATCAGTATTTATTCGGCGTGTTATTGTGTCTTAAAGTAATAATTTTTTAATGTAAACATGTTTCAAATGAGCTAATCTAAAATTTTATTACATATATTTACTGAGAAGGGGAAGATGGTCACGAATTTTGTACCCGAAGGTATTCTTTATTAGGCTTCTCATACTAGATACAATTGTGCAAAAATGAAATGTACAGTTGCAGCCATGGAGATAGGTCTGTAAGTTGAATGTTATCCCTGGTGATAAATTTACAACTAATTACAAATGAAAAATGAAGTCCCTCACCATTATTCATTAGTCATTACCAAAATCAATGCAGCTTAATGCTGGTATGCATGATAAGTAGGAATAACAAAATAAATTTGTTTGTTCATTAACTTGGTTCCTTTTGTTTGACAATTTAGTGTTATAAATTTACATAATTTCCTTCATTCCATGGATCACTATCCAATATATAACAATGTAATTGCCATAGAATCATTTTTAAAGTACTTTTTATGGGTGAAGCAGTTAACCACAAATGAACTCAAATACTTACATACCCAACTTAATACTTATTACCTTGCTCTGCTTGAAAATTTGTTTTCCTCAAAAACCATTTATAAGCAGTTAAAGCATATGTTTTAATTTAGAAGAGTGTGTTCTACAAAATACATTTAAATCAGAATAATTTTTAATTCTTATTATTTTGCATTTAGCACAAATTATGCAATAAAAGCATCCTAAAGAAATATAATAACAGAATAGAATTTTTTTCAAATTATTGAAATAACTTACTGCCTACCATCCGGCGTCCACCCAGCTCGGACAAGATATTCCGCATTAGGGCAAATGGTTTGCAGACTTTCACTCGGATGTAGTTCTGACAAAACTTCTATCTAAGAAATACTTAAGTTTATTATTTAGATATTAAAATACATAAATATTGCTCCTTATGTAACAGAAAATATCCTTGATGCTTCAAAAAATTAACTTTAGTTTACATTGAGTCAATACATTTCAATAAATCAAAACCTGTCTTGTGTTTGTTCATTCCAAAAAAAATGCTAAATGTAAAAAATCCAATGCCATTCAATATAGTTTTATTTTAGCAGAAGTATTTTCAGTAATTCAATACAGCATCTTCTTCAGTTGCAATTAAATGAAAGACAATTACCACAAACAGAAACAAAGATTGATTAATTTTTAAAAATTTACTAGTTGGTTAACAACAATGCTGTAAAAAAAAATCAATACCATTTAATGTAGTTTTTATTTTAGCAGAAGCATTTTCAGCTTCAATATAATTATCATTTTCAGTTGCAACTAAATCAAAGATAAGTGTCACAAAGATTGACGGATTTTCAAGAATTTACTAGTAGCTTAACCACAGTGCCCTCTAAAATAATGGGAGAAAGAAAAATAACAAAAGGAAACACAGCAAGTAGTGTCATCTGAGAAAGGAAAAATGAAATCAGAAATAATTTGTTTACAGAAGGGTGGGAGGGAAAAAAAGTTAGAGTTTGAATCCTTCACAAAGGAAGAGTGATTATTATGAATATGGAAAGCCTTAAGGAATCGAACCAATTCAGGAAGTTTTTTAAGTGATTTTTGGCAAAAGCAAAATTCATTTTGTGGTTTTAAAAAATAAGAAGCCTTAAGAAGAGATAGTATACATTTGAAGAAATAAGAAGAGATAGTATATTATTATAAATATAAATAAGAAGAGATAGTATCATTGGCAAATTTTTACAGAACATAACTATCTACATACAATTATAATATAAAGAAATTATTTCAAAAAGGATATTTTGAAATATGCAATTACAATTACTCTTCAATATGCCAACTAAAATTATATTAATCAAAAGCATATTAAAAAAAAAGGTAATATTTATTTCCAATTCTATGCTTTGATTTTCGCTACTGCTCAAAATGTTCAACTTATTTAAATTTGAAGAATATAAATTCTATACAATACAAATTAAATATAATTTCAGACCTGGTTTGTTGGGGTAACAGTAAATTGCACTATTTTGACTGATGACTTAGCATTATTTGTTCCTAAAATACAAACATTTTAGTAGTTAGTAATTAAACTAAAACATAAAAATTTCATTCTATTACATATTATATTACATTTCAGGTATAAAATAATAAAAATAATGTAATGATGCTAAATTATTGCAATCCTAACTTTTAAATACAGCAGAACCTTGATCTATCATTTCTTACAATGACTGCTTTCCCTAAAATATCATTCAACAATTCTTGCCTTAAATGAAATTCTACATGAATAACATTATTTATTCCCACATCTATCATTCCTCAAATTATTCACTGCATTTATATTTGTACATTGCATTCAACAAGTACATTTTAAAAATGGCACCCAGCTTTGCATCCACATTTTTAGTGTTATTTCCAAATGTTATTTTATAGCAAGCATTAAGTTCCTTTCTGTTAGTTTACATTATTTTACTTTTCATTAATTTTTAGGCATTTCAAAGTTAGCTTTCAAATTGAACTTGTATAGAATATGTGAAAAGGAAAAAAAAAATCAATATGAAATTATAATTCTCTATTATTTATTTTTTTCTAATTTTAAAGTAACCACAGAAAATTCTGCGCACAAAGAAGTGACATGGGTCATTAAAACAAAATCTAATTACTATACATTACTAATTTACAACGTGACATTTACCCGTCTTTTTTATTTTCCCGCATCTTTGTTTTTCTTGACCATCATGTTTCATTGAAAAATGATAGACTGAGGTTCCATTGTATTCAGAGAAATGCACCTGAAACAGGTATTAAAAATGCAATAGTATATTTCTTCCTCTTACATGTTTTTCCCTTCAGCTTTTGCAAAATATCATTTAAAATTTCTGATTTATAATAATAAAATATGCACAGATAGTAAAAGACACTATGCATGTAAAATGTATATTATTATCTATATATGGTTTCATAATGAACTGAATGCACATGGAACCAATGACAGCTTAATAAGATTTATTTTCCAGAACGAAACACTTTACAGCTCTAGAACTTTTCATAAAAGTATTTGCACAGCTCTTTTCAGTATGACAGAGCACAATCAGTAGTATATACTTCAAACTGCTAAGAACGTTAAATACAAGACAGTAAAAAAGCCTCAAATGCATAAATTCGCACAGTGATCTCTCAGTATTCTGAAATCAACTCTAAAATGATGCTAGCTCCAGTTTTATGTAATTTCCTCCATCGACTAAAAAATTTCCAGTACCTTCGATTTCTCAAAACTGCTAGAAGGCATATACAGTTACACAGGTATAGGACCAAAATATTGCCAAATTAATGCGAAGTTTCATGATTTCTCACCAAATTTGGCGATAAAACCATTGCCAGCCTGGAGCTATTTAGCAAATTTGGCAAGATAGCCATTTACCTGAATGTTAAATAGGCTTGCCCCTGTACCCTTTTCTGGCAAAGTTTTGGTTTCTTGAGGCCTTTCATGTTACACTATACAAAAGATACTACAATTTACATATAATTTTACTAAAATTACATAACAATATTATTGAAACTAAGAATGTCTTAAAAATACAGAAGGCAATAAGGTTTTTGCATCTATTTGTATGCACTTTTTAAAATGCCCATATTCTTTATTTAAGTACTCCACTCAGAAAAATGGTACATAGCATAATTTTTAGCCTCTAAAATTTCAAGAGTTAAAATCAGAAAAAAAAAAAAGAGAGAGAGAATAATCATATAAATACAGTATACTCAAATAATTTATAGCAGTCCTTTTAGGGATAGGGAAAAAACAAAAGATATTATATCAAATGATTGTTCTATAGAGTGCAGCTTGAATGAAAACAAAAAATGATATAGGTACAAGCTATTCATTAAAATTTGAAATAACCAAACAATGAATTCACTTTTTAATTTTAACCCATAGTTTAAATAAATTTTCAAATTATTAAAATTTTGTTAACTAGAAAATTTTCACTTAAAAATTTCTCCTTATATTAAACTTAAAAATCAGAAAAACAATAAAAAAAATTTCTTTTTAATTGACATAAATAATGTCAAATTTTATTGATAAATAAAATTCTTTTTACATAAATACAAGTGTAATATTATAATCAAAATAATACTCTATAAAATCATTCTCTCTTCCAGGTAAGAGGAATTTTGGGAATTAAGAAAACTACACAGAAATTAGCTGGATATATTTTTTTCTAAATTTGTGTGCTTACTTCTTTCAGGATATACCTATCACCAGAAGAAAAATCACATTTTACTTCTTTCAAGTAGTGAATGAGGTCATTATGATGCAATATTGGCATTCAAACTCTCTTTATATCAACAGAAAAACTATATTATGCAAATGAAAAATCGGTCTAAACTTCCTTATGATTTATTATATGAGAACAGATTGTTAAAACAAGAGTTGCATTAATGTACTTAGACTGCATTTAAAAATTATAGCATTATTTTTAAAAACTGAATTTTTTATACATTTATTTTCTTTTAGTACTTGTTTCAGGTGCGTTTTTCAAACATAGTTCTCCAATGTTAATTACATTTTATTAAATGAGTTGATGCAAATGCTGCTATATATTAAACAAGATAATCACAGCAGAATGTAATACAATAGTAGCATATAGTAAAATGTGACTTAAGAAACAATATATTAAGTATCCCTTTCATATTTTTTAAGCATCCAATTTTTAAAATATGTGTTTAGTGCAGAAAAAATTACTTAAAAGATAAAGAAATAACAGTACTTTTCCGTTTTTCCAGCAAAGGTGATGAAGTCGCCAATAATGGTACAACTGATGCCAAACAGAATATCCTCGCTGGTAACCTTTTGTGCCTCATTCTCAAAATAAGTCACAGCTATTTCTTATCAGATTGGTTGTTTCTTTCAATACTGGCTTACAATTACATAGAATTTTTACCAGATAGTTCAATTTTATGCCCCAAGGTCCTGGCCCTTCACGGTAACTAAGTCAATTAGAATGCAATCACACCCTCACCCGAAGGCGAAAATATAGAAAAGGCAAAGTCAAGGTTTAAATTCATCAATTCTAACGAGAATGCACTAGCGAAGTAAAGCACTGAGGTTTTACATAAATTTCTGAGTAAGCTATTCGTACGAATTGAAATAATTCTTTCATTTAAACTTGTATTCCAAATTAAGATATAACTTGAAATTAATGTAGATAATTACTAGGATAATTAGATTTTTGTAGCATAGTTTACGTGAGATGAGATCACTTGGGGTTACGTGATATGAACCGGAGAATAAGGATGTTGAACCTAGTAAATAGTAAAACCTATTAATAACATAGTAAATAGCATAGTAAATTCTTAAATTAATGTCTTTTGAAAAATTTATTGTCTTTATTTATTGGCTTTTTAAAAAATTTTAAAGTACTGTAATTTCGGGTAGATAAGCTGCGGCTTATACGTGTTTAAAAGCTGAAAATTTAGGTTGGCAGCACATCTGCCGGAGCAGCGTATCTGAGGGAATTTTATTTTTTTTCTGTCCTTAAAACTTCACTAATTCAGATCGTAAGTAACGCGGAAGTAAGGCGATAAGAATTCGCTGCAATAATTCTAACCCCAGATTGCGCTAAGGCAGTGCAATGAGTCCAAACTCCCTTAAGGTAGGTGGCGCTCTCTGTAAAGATACTGTAATGCATGTACTTCTTCCTAAACTCCATGGTTTTCCCCATGTTTTCCTATGACTTTTTGTTTTACTGGCAACAGCTACGTTTACTTGACAAGTGCTGTGTTCATTCATACACGTTTTTACTGCTTTGTAGCTTGCATTTTGTTTGCCTTATCATTTGTGCTTTAAAAATACAGTCAAAAGTCGTTAATCCAGACTCGTCGGGACTTCGGCGATTCCGGATTATCGATTTTTCCGGATTATAGATCATCAGTTTAAATCTCGTAAGATGGCATGCAGAAATTTTAAAATTAAAAATATGAAACTGTAATTTAAGAAATAAAGAACAATTATGATCTAAAGGGTATCAAAATTTATAAAAAAAAAAAAAAAAGCTTAATATTTATTTGTTTACTTTATTAAAACATTTCTTTCAATGTAAGTTGTTTAAGTTGCTTCATTTTATGTGATAATACTTTCTCTTTAATTCTATAAACAGACATAATTTCTTGTTCAGTTACTAAGTTCCGCTGTTCAAGTCCCGTTAATTGCTGTGCCGAGAATACCGACTAACTTGTCAATCGAATTTTTTTCGTTTTCACTAACCTCTCTGTCACATTCTTCATGTCTTTATCCATTTTTTGCAGCAATTCCACTTTTTGTTTGTTGGACATCGAAACATACTTTCGTTTTGTAGATCGTTTGGAAGTTCCAGCATCGGAAATTCTATTTGACATAATCGAAAGTTCAAGTTTACTTTTATAAAATTGCTCTTACAGTCTGCAAAAAATAATAAGCGGGATCCAATTCGAAGATTAAGAAACAATGCAATCATTAACATTAACTGAAATAGATAATTAGATAATTTTAGATTACACCGTCTGTTATACATTAAACGCGCAGGCGAAAACGTATTCTGCACTTGTGAACACGCATATGCGCAGTAGTCAAGTTCTTACGCGCATGCGTAAAACGCCTGTGCGCATGTGCCAACGCGGCGCATGCGCAGAAAGTTTTTAGCTTTGAGGTCTGGATTATAGATCATTCCGGATTATGGGTGTCCGAATTAACGACTTTTGACTGTATTATATTGTTATGGCTCCTACTCGAAGAAAAAGTTATACAGCTGCTTTTCAGCTTTCGGCAGTAAAGAAAGCCATCAAAATTGGAAATCGTGCTGCGGCTAAAGAATTTCAAGTTGACGAGCGATGCATTTGGCGGTGGAAGTCCGAACAAGACGAATTAGAGAAAATGCCTAAGAATAAAAGTTCTCGTCGAACTTTTGTCATAGCCTGGCCTGTTTTGGAAGACAAATTAGAGAAATGGACAATAGAGCAGAGAGAAAGTGGATTATCAGTACCAACAGTTAGAATTTGCCTTCAAGAAGGTAATTGCTCAATGGGCATTAAAAATTTTGTTGGAGTACCTAATTGGTGTTTCAGGTTCATAAAGCAAAAGAAATTATTCATCCGGACCAAAACAACAGTTGAACAAAAGCTTTTAGTGGACTGGCTTGAAAAAAAGATAGCTTTTTTGGAGTACACAGCTAAGAAAATTAAAAGAACAAAATTTGAAAAGAGGGCAAATAATTAATATGGATGAAGTGCCCATTACTTTTGACTGTCCTCCGAGCAGAACTGTTCATTTGATAGGAGAAAAAACTATTTCAGTGTTAACAAACAGGAATGAAAAGACTTCTTTTACTTGTGTTTTGGTTTGTGCCGCCAATGGAGAAAAGTTAAACCCTTTGATAATTTTCAAAAAAAAAAAAAAAAAAAAAAAAAAAAAAAAAAAAAAAAAAAAAAAAAAAAAAAAAAATTCCGAAAGGAAACTTCCCAAAAGGAGTTATTATTTGCGCCAATGAAAAAGGATGGATGTGCGAAGAAGTGATGTTGTTTTGGCTGAGAGAAATTTATCGGAAAAGGAAAGGTGCTTTTTTCCAACCCCGAGGACTAAATGTTCTGGATTCAATGCGATCCCATTTAGCGGATAGGGTAGGATCTGAAGCAAAAAACTTAGCACCAATGTCTCAGTGATACTAGGTGAGCTTACAAAAATTTTACAGCCGCTAGATCTCACTATCAACAGAGCTTTCAAGCACGAACTGCGAAAGCAGTGAGAGGAATGGATGTAAAGCAGACTCCATTCCTTCACGAATTCCGGACGAATCAGAAAAGCTTCGTATGATTAGGCTGCCTTATGATAGGCATGTCGTATCAGCTTTCATTAAATCGAATTCTGTTGATGATGCAATCAGTCCGAGCTGATACAATCGCATCAGCTTTCATTAAATCGGAAATCATTGAAAAAGAAACTGAAAGTGAAGACAGTGACGTTGAAAGAAGTGATTTAGAACAGAATGATGAAACTTACCTTGATGGTCATTTGTTAAATTTATTTAAATCAGACATCGATGAGTCGGATTTTGAAGGTTTTGTATAAATAAATGTAGTTTCTATGTAGTAGAAAATTCTGTTTGTTTATCTAATTTACGTATTCTTTTTCATAATGTGGTAATTTATGCTGATAAACGGAGTTTACTGAAAACGTAAAAATAATATATTAGAAATCATCAGAGTTCGTTTTCGGCAAGTTCAAGATAAGATATTTCTTCCTTATTTATTTATATTCTACTGATTATATTTATGTTGTAAATGTTATCAATGATGATTACACCAATATGGCAGGGAATTACTGAATGAATGAATATTAATTGCCATGCTCCCGAATGTTTGGCTGCAGCGTATACGGCGGTGTGGCTTATCGGATGACCTTTTATTTTTTTTCAGTCAATTATCCTGTGTGAGGCATATACCAGGGCAGCTTATCTACCCGAAATTACGGTATATTAAAATGTTTATGCGTTCAAAATAAAAAATTCTTAAGAACTAACATTTGTTAACATTTTTTATGTGTATACTGTATGTTGCCGCCAGTAAAGTCTGCTTGGCGAGATTTGCGCCAGCGAAACGGAAAAGTACAGAAATAACTCATAAGCCACAAAAGAAAGAAAAAACGTGTCAGAAAATTATACTCATTACTAAAATTATATTTATTATTACATGTCATTTTTATTTATTATCATTAAAAGAAACACATTCATTCAAAAAGAAGATTAACTCATGGAGAAAAACATATAAGAAAGACAATGGTAAAAAGTAAAAGTAAAATTTATAAATTACAGTACCTGCTCGAGGAAACCTGAAAACTTCTAATTCTTTTTCATCTCCAAAGCAAGGCAGATGAAGTATTTCTACATCACATTCATCAACTTCTTCATACATAATTCGATACACATTGCCACCTATCACACAATAATGAAAATTTCATTTTGTTTGTGTTACTGCTTAGTAATCAGAATAATTTTTTAAATGTTAAAATAAAACAGAAGATACACGACAGCCAAAAGAAGGCTTATATTCATTAATGTAATTCCATTGATGAAAAGATTTTGTTTTATATTTTTGAACTAATGCTCAATAGCAAGAGTGCCAAATAAAAAATTCTTAAGAATAAAAAATAAATTTTATTTCATTTTGTGATTTTGTTATTTCCTTTTATAATAATGCTCAATAAACACAATAACTTACATAGCATTGTATTTTAACACTTTTATATCATCAAAATACAGTAGCAGTCATTGATTACATGGATTTACATCCATGTAATCAATGACTGCTACTTTATTTAATGACTATACTAATGGCTGCTCAAACCTACAAAAAACATTTATGATTTTGTTGTTCATTTTATCATGATGCTCAAAATCAAAATAGTCTATCATATTTTTATAACATAAAAATAACATTTTAGCTCCTACATTTATGATTTTGTTGTTCACTTTATGCTAATACTCAATAACGTAATCATTTTTTTAAATATCAAAATAAAATTGCAACTACTAATAACTGATAAAATGCCAGTATTACCAGCATAAGACCACTAATAAAAAAATACCCTTTATTTATTTTTTATATGAAGTTATGAATTACGAATAATTTTTTCCATATTTTTTTAAAACAAACTTCATTTATAACTAATTTAAAGAGATCAGTCTAGCAATTCTATGTAAGTTAATATTCATAAACCACTTTTCATCTATAATTTTTCTAACATTAAAATATGCTGAAACTAAATAAAATCATCTTTAAGGTCTTTCAATAATACTTCTGTGTATTTAGGTATAAACCACACATAGGAAAGATTTAAATTGTAATAATAATAAATCATACTGCTTGATCTAACTATTTCTGCCTAATTCTTATCAATACTATTCTATTATTGTAATATATAACTATAGCAGTAATATATAACTCTTATTGTAATATATAGAAAAAGTCACAAAATAATAATATTAATATTATTATTATTCTATAATTTTATGCATATCATGTTTATTAAAAACTTGATTAAATTAATAAAATAAAGTAAGAATAAGAATCACTTTCTACAAACCTGCAGGAACAGGCACAGGCTGCCACCAATATCCAGTGTATCTGTTAAACTCCTCTTGAGTGACATAGGATGGAATACCAGCACTTACTGGATCATCAGCTATATCTGTATTACCTGAAACCAAAATTAAAGGCTCTTCAAAACCGAATGAAGAATTTAGAATTTTATATATTAACTTTTATGCATACTTTAATCAAATTCTCATTCTTCAAAAATTTACTCATATATATATATATACACACTCTGCATACTTCTTACTTTCTTAAGGGAAAGAAAATTTTGAGATATTTATAAAAAATGAAACAATGCAGTCTTCTTAAATACCAAAAAACATGACAAAACTACTGTCGAAAAAAATTCAACCAACATAGAAAAAAAATTTTATTATTATTATTATTATTAAAATTAAAATGCGCTTAAATCTCTACTATTAAATGATGAAGAATTTGCATGTATGTATCCTTCTCACTTTATGGAAGTCATCTACCTGAACATATATACACCTTAAAGCCCAAATTTTGAGTTTTTAATTGGTTTTTATTATTTATTTCATATTTTGCATGAATTAAATGCACTTTTGATTCATAGCTCAGTGATTTAAAAGCTTTAAGTTGCTACTCTGGGAAGCATAAAATATTTATGTTTCAAATTTAATCAGAAAAATTCAAAAATATTTTTTAAAAAATGTGTTACTACTCGGCAAAATCATTTTATCTTTCGATTTTAATCACATGATGGAGAAATAACAGTGACTACAGCCACCAAATTTTGAACATATATAGTTTTCCACCTGCACATGTGCACCTCAAAGCCCAAATTTGTAATTTAAAAAAAATAAATAATAATAATAATAATAATAATAATAATTTCACATTTTCTGCGAATTTAATTAACTTTTTGCTGCTTGGCAAAGCGTAAGTTCAAATTTAATCAGAAAATTCAGTAATATTACAGAAGTACATTGAAACTAATAAAATGCAATATATTTGTCTTTTGAATTTACTCAACAAATTCCGAGATTTAAAAGATATGTTTTGCCGTTACCCGAATTCAAATATTTTATCTTCCATGCTGCAGTGGTTCTTGTTCAGCAAGGCTAAGATATTTAATTTCTTTTCACATTCACTCTGTTATTAATTAACAAACTGAGCTATTTAAAAGAAATAAATACATATTCATTCAATTATAGATACTTACTAGCTGGGCTCATACACTAGTTGGATAATAAATTCACATTCATTCAATTATAGATACTTACTAGCTGGGCCCATACACTAGTTGAATAACAAATTCATATTGATTCAATTATAGATCCTTACTAGCTGGGCCCATAGAAGAGTTGAATAATAAATTCATATTCATTCAATCATAGATGCTTACTAGCTGGGCCCATACACTAGTTGAACTTATTTCATTAAAAATCATAATATATATATTTTTTTCTTTTTGGAAACTGTTATGTTAATACACAAGACAAATCATTGTCATTAAAAATAACAGCTGTCGTACATTAATTAAATATTAAGTATATGTATGTAACTAACAGCAAGAAAAGTATACACCATTTATGTGATTAATATAAACAACAGTTGTTTAACATTACAAAATTAATAAACATGATTATTAGGAAATAGACACTGGAAATTACAGTATTACTCAATATGTTAAAACTTTAACTTCAAAGATACACTAAGCAGTTTTAACATTTAAATAATAGCATTAACTGATATAAATAATAACATTCATTTCATTTAAATACTAACATTTTCACTAATAATAACATATTTAAACCCTAACACTGAAAATAAGGGATAAAGACAGAATTTGTTCATCCAGCAGTTAAGAAAATTAGAAAAAATAATAGTAATAATAAAATAAAACTTTCTCCAACCTCTTCTTGCAAAAGTGAGCCTAACATCACATGATGAGACCACATTGTGAACCCACAAATCAAAGTTGTTGATGTAAGCAATAAGATCTGGATTCCAAGGGCACATCTGAGGGTTTAACCTTGCACTAGGTGGAACTGAGTTTTTTAATTCTCGGGGAAATAATGGTGGATGCTGCAAAAAATATTTGAAATATGAATACATAAAAGATTAAAAATTAGTTTAATATTTTAACATAATAGCCGCATTTCAAAATGCAGCGATTTCTTTTGCATACAAACAACAATTTAATTCAGTTATCGCATCAACTACCAAGATTTTCCAAGCAAAAAACTACATTCTTTTACTATAATTTTTAATATAATAATGTCAGTTAAACTTTAAATTTTGAGAGACTTATGTTGTAGAGGCATTAGAATTTTTTCAAGTCACAGAACATGATAAATCAGCAATGCTCTCGCCAGAATGTGAACTCAGGATATCCCCACTGCTACTTGTATGTGCTTCCAATAACACTATGAAAGCACAGGATAAGGAAGGAGAAAATTCCTCATACACTAACTAAATATTTCAAAAATGTCATATTTGTGCAATTCAAAAAATAAATAAATGAGCTTGAGACAAAAATAAATAACCCTTCTTTTATGAAAATTAGGAGACACACAATTTTCCTAAAGACACTGTAAGTCCAAGAAAGACCTTTATATTGTCTCTTGGGCTGTAAGTGTCCAAGAAACACCTTATATTATGTCTTATGGCAGATGGAGCACATGTCTGTTGTATGGCATATTCTAAATCATACTTATTAAGGAATTCCAGTAGGTCATGTTTCATTTACTCCTACACATGCTTGATTACGTATAGATTCGGAAAATGTATAAGCCTGGAACACAACTGCCAAATGTGGCCAGCTAGAAATGACCCCTCCAAGACTACCAGAAAGAATGTGAGCACATGTGGTCATATATGCTCATCTGCATGCTGCTAGGCCGTTAATGTGCCACAAAGCACTATTATGGCAATCTGGCTGTTGCAGAATATACTTTCCCATGCCATAGTGCTGCATATCTAGGCCACTCAACAGAAAGGATGGAACAGTATCACTGGTTAGGATATTTCCACTATTTTACAGTAATACTAATTTTTATACAATGGTCATCCAATCCCAAAATGAAAAGTGGCTCAATGCCGTTATTACATACCTTTCTATGTTGCTTTAACCTGCCATCATCAGAACCAACAATGTTCCAGCATAAAGCCAGCGTATGCAAAAGGTACTGGTTTAGCAGATTTGCTTTATGGGTGAATCTCTCAATGGTTTTTCATACCCATGAGTTGCTTGCAGCTACCAGTAAAGCGGATCAGGTCACCACTGAATATGCTTGGTGAATGATTCTTTGACCTTTTCTACAAGCTGTCTGTCTAGTTCTTCCTGAGCAGATCTGTAGAGTGTGGCTTCCTTGATCTGACTAATGTTGCCATCACTGTCAGATGGCATGCCTGAATAATCCATGTGATGGGCTATACGAAACACCAAACAACCACCTAATTTTCATTCCAATGATAAAATTTTCTGGAAATCTGTCAAGAGCAAAAATCGCTGTTTTGTACATCAATAACATCTTTCTGCTTTTGTACATATGACTGTATCAGCCAATGTTTTTAAATGGAATTGACAAGATAGTGTTATCAAAATCTGCTAGTTCAGGATTGCAGGGACTACAGGGAGTGTGACCATTGTCTGATTGCACCAAATTTACATACCAATATGTATTCTAATTGTTTCCATACCAATATGCACCATTTTCATTGATGTGGCATGGTTTCTCAGATAAGTATTAATTTTGTTGATTATGAGTATGTAAACAATGTAGCTTTTTTTTTTTTTCAGACTAAAAAAATATTTGAATGCTCTGAAATATGGGCATTTGTTGGATCTGTAAGTCCAAATTTCAGAGTATATTAATAAATAACCAAGTTTACATATATATAAAACCAATAAAATATAAATTTCCTTAAAAGCACAAAAATAAAAGTAGGTTTAGTTTATTTTAAATCTTTTTTACATCTAATTAAAATAATAAATTTGCTTTTAGGTACCATTCACTTCTAAAAATTAATTATAAAGAAATCTTCACAAAGCATATACTCAAATTATAAAATTCACATTGAAAAGAATTTATTTATTTTTTAATTTCAACATAATGAGTATAATCTTACATTAAAAAGATTTAAAATCGCTTTCCACTTGTCCCATTTCATTTCAAACATATCAGTATAAATATAAGTTTTGTAACCACTTTCAAAAATGTTTAATGTGATATATATATATATATATATATATATATATATATATATATATATATTAATCTTCATCATTACACAGACTGCTCTTAAATCAGTATTACAGAGTAACAAAAACAAGTCCTAGAAAATTTAATTATTTCTTAATAAATAAGTAAACATAACATTAAGCATCTTTTTGTTTCATGTAGAAAGATGCTACTATGAAAAATACACCTTTGCTTAAAATGCTACTATATATTTTTCACATCTTTAATTTATTAGATAAGTTTAAATATTGGCATTTTACATTAAATAAAAGCAAATTACAGATGTTGATTACAGTATAATTTAATCTACACATTTTCATTACTAATACACCAAAACTAAATGCCTGGAATATTGACATACATCAATTTTGTATGCCATATTCATACACAGCACTTTTTTGATTAAGATTCCATATTTAAACTTCTAACAAAGAACCATGATATATAGCAAAATTATTTCATTCAAAGTAATTCTGCATATACCATTTAATTCAAGATGAAGCAAAATTAATAAAAATATTATGTAAACTTATTAAAGCTACATAAACTACCTTTTAGCAAATTAACATAAATTTTACTTTTAATTTTTAAAAAATAAGAGAAAGTATAACCTAAAAGATCACATTCCCAATTGTTCCCATCAAACTGCATCTTTCAGAAAAAAAAAAAAAAAAAAAAAAAAAAAAAAAAATTTTTGTTTTAAATTTTCATTTACAAAATCATCTCTATTTTCTTTATAGAAGAGATTAACTATGATACTAAAAATTAATTCACACAGACACATTTCATTTAGTGCAGCAACGAAAATAATCTTTTAATGTTGGATGAAAAATTTATACTTGTTTTCTCGAGGAAAAGGGGTGCATAAAATTTAAACAATTCAAAATTCTGAAAATTAAAAATTAATTATTTTATAAAGGAGAACAAGCACAAGTTGTCAGTACCTTTAAGGACAAATTTAAAAGCTGCCAAAGAGAGAAAAACAAATCCCCCCCCCCCCCCGTTCACAAGTTGCAATGAACTGACAACTTTTTGTGGGATGCAGATATCAGAAAGCATCATAAAATTTTCTGTGTAACTTACCAAAAATAATGAAAATTATAAAGAAGGGTGTGAGTAACCAGATTGTCAATAAACTTTAGAACATTCTTGCCAGAACTCAGTTATAGGCTTGCTCTTTTAATGATAAATCACACTTTAGTTTTAGTAAAAAGCAGTATTAGATCTTTCAAAACACAAACAGCATTTGTTTAAAATCAGTTTCAACCTAAGACTGAATTTTGTTTAATTTTAAAGCAAGTGTTCATGACTTGCCAAATTAAGATATTCAGCAATATTTCTTTTTATTTTTTCCTCCTTTTTAATTATGGTACAATCTTCATAAAATGATCCTCTATGATTCAACACAATTTTTGTCTTAATGGACATCGTTGTCTTAGATTAGTAATAATCAGTTCTATTATTTAATTATATTCTCAGAAATACTGATTACTGTCAAAGGTCTTAACAAACTCAAAGATTTAGAACAAATAAATTTAAGTGTGTTTTTTGTTTGCACATTAACCAGGATAAATTGATTTATGTGTTTGATGCTACCAATACTAGAGAAAGGTCAAAAATCGACAACCTTATGTTTAAAATGGAAAACTTAATAATAACTGAAATGAAAAACAGCTTGTCAAACAGCAAGAACAAACAGAACTTAATATACAGTCAAAAGTCTTTAATCCGGACTCATCGGGACTTCGGCGATTCCGGATTATCGGTTTTTAGATCATCAATTTAAATCTGGTAGGATGACATGAAAAAATTATAAAATTTAAAAAAAAGTTTAATATTTATTTGTTTACTTTATTAAACATTCCTTCAATGCGCGCTTGCGTAAAGCATACGTTACGCATAGTCAAAATTAGAAAATTGAACCGGAAAACTATGTTATATGTATTCGGGATATTTATAATGACGAGGAAATTGATTTAAATCATATTGGAGTACATTGAGATGAAACACTACATTTAGTAAGGAATTATAAGTCGAATAAAATAAAAACATCTGCTCTAAAGATAAGGATAGTGCTGACAGATCAATTTCCAGTTCACTGCACACCGCGAATTGTGCAATTCTTTGACCTTGTTATTTTGGTTTTGTGTAGCGGCCATCTTGAAATTCTGCCTTGCTGTCCAATTGGTAATTTTTGCCAATGGCACCCTTAAAATACAGAATTGAAACCATTCCCTTTAAATGCATCCTACCCAAGTACCCTGATGTGTCTCCTATGGATTACTGTGCATTTGGACTTTAAAAACAAGCTCTTTATAAGCGGCATCTCAAAACATTGGATGGACTCTGGAAGATTGTAAAGGAGGAGTGGAATAAAATCAACCTTGCTGTTTAAAGGAAAGGAATTTTATCTTGGAAAATAAGATATCATATTTCAACAAAAGGGCTATCGGTCTGAACATATTAGAAAATAAAATTCTTAAGTTTTTTTATAGATAAATCTTTGCAAACTTGTTATGAAAATGTGTGAACACCCTCAGTAGTATCCACTGTGAGACTAGCAAATGCTTTCTTCCTTAACTACCTAACTGTTCAAAATAAGAATTCATGTATAGATTTTTGAAAATCTCCACAACAAAGAAATACTCAGCTTTGAGAACTGCAAAATCAATTACAGTGCAATTTCATACATTCAGAACTTGACTGTTGGTCAAATATGATGCTATAGTTTCTTATTTAATTAACCCCTTAACTGCCGCGGGCGTATATATACTTGCTCAGCCGATGCGTTAACTGTGCCGGGCGTATATATACGCCCTTCCAAAATACTATCATTTGCTTTGCGCTGCTACCCGTAAAATTATTCACAAAGCTTTGGAATGCAACACCACAACGACCTTGCCAAAGTATGCGAAGGAGGATACTATTTCAGAGAAGTGTGGGAGAAATTGGAGAGAGGGGTGTGTCTAAAGCGGTGAAAGTAATGGCTGCGCTGTATTGGCTGGTGTTGTTTGAGTAAAGCGTATTTTTTTTATTCTGCGTCCTCCGTTTTCGTTTACTTTTTGTAGTAGGTTCCAGAAATAAAGAAAGGTATAACTGATGTTTCAAACCCATTTATCTTTTTTGAAATATTTTTTGATGATCTGCTCATGCTTCATATTGTTACTAAAACTAACAGTTTTGTAGACGAGTACATGAACCAACACCTTGCAAAACAAAAATCAAGAACAAAATCGTGGCATTCAACCAGTTCAGAAGAAATATATGTTTTTTTAAGCATACTGATTTCACAAGGTATAACACAGAAACCTGATATTACACTTTACTGGTCTAAAAATGAATTGATTGAAACACCATTTTAGGGATCTTTTTTATTATTAAAACATCATTTTTATTATTTTAATACTTATATCCTTTTATATACTTTTACTCAAAACATTAAATTTTGTGCATTCATTTTTTTTTTCTTTTATTCTTTATTTTGTGAAAGTAAACAGTTTTTAGAAAGTAAAACTTGCACTTATTTTCTCCCTAATACATTGCATAAGTATGTGTGCCTGTGTGAAAAACCGTGGCACTGGGAAATGAATCTTGAACGTTTTCCGAGGCAGTTAAAGGGTTAAAAGCCATATGTGGTGATTTATCACATGTTGTGATCAAAGCATCATGAAATTATCTTTGTGTAGATCTACAAACATTCAATGTTGGTGAAATAAAAGAAAATTTTTCATGAATATTTTAAAAAATTTTAAAAACTTGTAAGAGTTATTAAAATTTTTAGAAGCAGGAGATGTGGAAAATGAGCAATGCCCTTGCCGGGACTCAAAAAGATATAAAATACCATAACATCAAGAAGGCATGCTGGAAGGAGGGAGAAAATACCTTATATACTCCTCCTTTGAAAGAGCGACTAGGGGATTAGGGGACCCAATCGCCAAATACTGGTGGTGAAGAATAACCATCCACCGCCTTTTCGTTCAAGCACCACTGTAGATTTATAAGGCTATTTTGAAGCAGAAGACATGAAAAATGGGCAATGCCCTCACCAGGACTCGAATCTGGACCTCTCGAATACACTCTGAGTGTGCTAACCATTACACTAAAGCATGCTAAAAGGGGGCGAGAAAATACCTTATAAACTTTCAGACAACTCTGGCCCCTGTAAATTATTTAATGAAATACCATATTTAGAAAGATATAAAATTGTTGAATAATAAAAATAAATATCTAAGTATAGAACTCAAACTGAGTGAAATGCAGCATGATTCTTCCAAAATTAAAATAATCATGTTTCTTTAAAATTTCTAATGTTATTAACTGAAAACCCAGAACTGGATTAACAATTAATAAAAATAAGCTCATACTTAGAGCATCAAAGAAAGGGGGCACCACAAAAAAAATTCTGCTTCTGGCTTTATCACGGAATGGTACAGCTAAACTAAAACAGGGGAAGAAAAATTGGGGAAAAACAGGTGTGAGGCCAATCAAATTCTTTCAGCAGTTAAATCTCTTAAAGTCTTAATCCGTCCCTATGAACACAGTTTGGTGGTTATTGCAGAAACACAGCATATGGTACAATAATTAATACACTAAAAAATTTCATAACACCCACCACTAAAAGTGAGCAGTATTCTTGTGGATGTATATAAACATCATAATCACTTTAACAAAACACCAAAATAGTTTGAAACTATGACGTCTGTTTGGGTTGTTTCATTGTAACATGTTTGTAACTGAAAACTAAATATATTAAATATTTGAACTAATAAAATTCAAAGAGCTCTTTTTTTTTTTTAATTACTGAAAATGTTTTATCAGTATTCTTCTGTTGTTAGGACCAAATTCAGAAATGTATGTATGTATTGCATGTGTTCGTGTATGTACATGAATATGTACATACCTATGTATGTGTGTGTACATTTAATTTCTGAATCCAGTCTCAATAAGAGAAGAGTGTCGTTTTATCTTACACTGGCTTTAAAAAATTTGATCACATCATAAAACTACACCAGTCTTTGATTTAAGATTAATAACTATATCTAAATAGAAAATTCTTTTATTAATATACATAAAAGGAAGAAAAAAAAAGGATCCCACTCCAAGCCTCAATGAGATAATATAGTAACATGAAGAAATGCTAACTAAAATTATATCTAATTATTTTAAACAGAATAACTGCAAAAATTTATTATTACAATCAATATTTAAATAGACTCAAGAGCCAAAACATTATGATCACCTACTCAATAACGCACTGCATGACCTTTGACCTACAAAACAGCAGCAACTCATCTTGGCATGGATGCCACAAGTTCTTGGCAAGAAGACAGGTTGTACCAAATGTCTCAGCAGCAGTTAAGTGAAGTCAAAATATTCCGACATGGTGGTGTTCGAGCTGCAGCTAAAGGATATTCCAAATGTGCTTTATCTGGTTAAGATTAAGCATGTTAGGTGGTCAGGATATTAACTGAAATTCATCCTTATGCTCCTTGAACCACTCCAACACAATTCGAGCTCTGATATGGGGCACTGCTGCAAGATTCCATTTCCGGTCGGTAAAACAAATGCCATGTAAGGGTACAACTGATTCATAATTATGTTCAGATAGCCTGCAGCTTTCATAGCCTGTTCTACCACAGCTAAGGGTCCCACAGTCACCCATGAGAACATCTCCCAAAGCATAATATCACCACCAGAAGCCTGTGTATGACCTGCTGTACAGGCAGGAGGGGGGCAACAGTTTGCCTGGAAAACGACATACCCTGACACGACCATTGATGTGATGAATGAGAAATCATGATTCATATGATAATGCAACTATCTTCCACTTATCCATGGTCCAGTCTTGATGTTCCCGCTTCCACTGCAGGCATAGTTGTTAATGACACTTGGTCAACAGAGGCACACAAGTGGGACGTCTGCTACACAGTCCCATATCTAACAGTGTTCACTAAAACTGTGTTCCGTAACACTTGCACTTGGACCTACACTGTATTGGGCTGTCAGCTGAGCCACTACCTGATGCCGATTTTGCTGCACAAAACAGGACAGTCCCCAAACGTTCTTTTTTTTTTTTTTGGATGATAAGTGGACGTCCAACACCTTGGCATCTACTGCTGCTTTCACCATGATTTATTTACTTTGCATAAATACTAACAGCGGCAGATTGTGAACAACCTACCAGTCATACAGTTTCACAGATAATCGTTCCAAGTCTATGAGCCATTACAATCTGCCTTCTATCAAACTTGCTTAGATCAGCAACCTTTCCTATCACTCGTAAAAGCAAGTGCAAGAATGATTCCTTAACTTCTCCAGCAGCTGTTAAATACCATTCCTGCTTAATCACACCAAAACCTCAAATTTTAAAACTTAATATGTTTAGTTTAATACAATATAAGAGAAACGAAAAACCTTAAGTATACTGTCACAATGTTATACTAAAAAAATCTGATGTGTACACCACGACTTCCTTGTACGGAATATTAAATTATATGCATTTTTTCTTGCATTTCATTTAAACTTATTGGATTGAATTAAATATACTTTGCCGACAGTGCATAAACCACAATAGAATAAATGCATTCTTTAAAATTCACTCTAGTACTGTTTACCATAGCAACTCTTGTGCTAGATTCACTTAACAGTATTAATAATTATATAACAGTTAACTTATATAATAATAATATAATGAAAACTAAGTTAACTGTTATATAATCCAATAATTATATAACAGTTGACTTATATATTTCGTTCATATTATAACTCATAATGCACAATTTATATCATTTAAAGAATAGAATTATCTAATCGTTGCCACATGTTCTATTCAAATACTATAATAAAGCTAGAATGATGTATAAAAAACAAATTAAGCAAACAAAACAAAAAAGAAACAGTTTTCACAGACAATTCAGTATTTCTCATTTAATTAATTCAGTTCTCACTTCGCAAGAAGGCAAAAATACATAAAAACTCAAAATATCTATATTAAAAATTACGAAGTAAATCTTAAACACTTATTTCCTCGAAAAAATTCCAGAAAGAATTAAGCATGATTTAATTGGCAATAATAAATGAATGCGTTATCTTTGTTGTTGCGAAGCTAAGTTTCTCTAGATTGGCAATAAATCCACTAGTCTGCTGTTTCAAATGTAAACATCAATGGCTGCCATAAAAAAAGGCTTAGCGGCACTTAGACAACTTTAAAATTGTTGATAATTCTAAAAATATTGCACTCAGATTTACTAAAGGCATAAAAACCTTAACCGGAAGATTAAAAACAACATAATACAATCATTTTTAAAGCAAAAATAACTGAAGTAAAGTAAAGAAACTGAGATCACTGAGCCGGGTAACAGAGTGGATATATATATAAATATATTTATATATGTTTGGTGCGGCCGATTGCAACCAAAATATGAGGTGCACATCTACATGTTATAGCAGTCCTATATACAAAATTTCAACGTTCTGAGGCTACTCGTTTTTGAGTTATGCGAGATACGTACGTACATACGTTCATACAGACGCCACAAAAAATTCTCTACAGAATTAATTTTAAAGCAGTTTTATAATTTTTTTGAAGGAAAAGAGTATTTTATTCTGTCCTTACGTACAGATATCACGCAAAAACATCATTAAATTGCATTCAATAGCGGTCAAAATGGAAATTTTCGTTGAAATATGCTGCCTAAAACTTTTCGCGATTACAATACTTCCTTTTTACTTCGTACAAGGAAGTAAAAAAGGCTTACCTGTAAATAATCATCATCACAATAAAACACAGCACCACAGGCTGGAAATACAAATCTCCCGATAGAAGGTTGAAAGTCAAAGGAAGTTATGCCCCACATAACTAACCGTTTTCTCTCCCACTGAAGTTGTTCTTCCCTTGAAAATCGTCCTTGAGGGTGGTACGTTTGAAATGAGGATTCGAGCAAAGGCTGCCACTGAAATGTTTCTACTTTGCTTTTAATACAATCCACTGGCACATCACAGTATAAAAGAGTTGTTTCACGTCCAGAAGAAACAGTACTTAGGAAATATATTCGATAGAAACGAGACTCATTTTCCGAAAACATTTCTTTGAATTCAAAACAATTGGGTATTTTAGCAGATATGTTCGACAACTGCCTTCGTACATTTCGAACTTCTTGCCGCAATTCTAACCATGTTTTCTTCCGTCCATTACTCCTGCGATGATTGGTGATATCTTCTGAAACTGATTCCGATTCCATTACTGTCAAAAAAAAAAGTGTCAATGAAAGATATACATTTTACAAACCATAAATACGACAGATAATAAAAAAATACAAATACTACAAAAAAACCATATAATATAGATATTTTAGGCAGAATATTTACATATAATGACATTAAAAGTGGATATGACTACCTCATGAAACAACTACACAAATTTGTTTAGCACTCTCACACTTGCCCATTATGTGATATTGATGATAAGTGTGGTTATTTGGACACTTATTCTGGACTTAATGACACTGCAACAGTTAATGATGTCAAAAATTATAGTAGTATTTTAATGTTTCTGAATAGTGTTGAGCTGCCTGTCACAGACTAATGGCGCTCATGCCTAGGTCTCACATAGGATTTAAAAAAAATGTTTTTTCATCCAGTAGTTCAGAGATTTGGTTATTAAATCATTCTGAATGTTGGATGTCTAGATTTCAGACTTTGCACTGAATATATTTTCATATATATCTCGGCAATAGCTGTGATGTACGATAAACACAAAGTATAAATATGCATACCTGCCAACCTCTAAAGATAAAAATTCAGAAGATCACGAAGAATTAATATCATGCTTTGATATTAAAAAAAATAACAATTTATACAAATAGAAAAAAGAAAATTGTACTTACATTAGTAAATCTCAATTAAGTAGTAACTAAAAAATTTATTAGGAAACATAAAACAAGAACTTAATGTTACACAAAAAAAATATTGCAGTGAATTTAGAGTGCATTTTCTGGCTTTAGCTAAAAATTCTTTGGAAAAATTTCCTGTCATAACAATTAGTTTCCTCATAACATTTAGCAATTAAAATGTTTTCTAGAGTTTTTGGTGACATTGAAGAACGAAATATAGTTTTGTTTTTCTTCACAACACTGAAGACTCTCTCGCACTCAGCATTCCTGTGTGGAATTACGAGAATACCACATAAAACTCTTGCTAGTCTATCATATTGTTACGAATTTGGTATTTAAAAAGCTAACGTTAGTTCAATTATAAATTAAATGGTTTCATTTCCCGCGCAGTGCAGCGCGTGACGAATATTACAAGAAGAAAGCTAAGCCGGAAAATTAAAAATGCAAGAGCACGGCATTTAACATTAAATAAATAAATATGTCTTTTTTATTTCGAGAACGTATCAGAAAATTCTCGCACGCGATTTAAAAATCTTATAAAAGGAGGAAAACCTCTCAGTTCGTAGTAGTTGCTTAGTTTGTTGTTGTTTAGAAAACTGCTCTTGTTGAATGTAGCAAATTCATGGATTAGCTTTCTTTAGCTGTGTTGAATTAAGTTCTTTTGAACGTTTGAGTAGTTAAAAGATAACTACTGTGAGATACTGTAATACTGCATGATAATTTGAGAAAATTTAAGCATTTTTGTTGTGATAATAATAAATTTTTGTTCATTTTTCATCAGGGGCCAAGATTCATCCGTTAAGGAACTCGTACGACGTGAACAATCTTGGTGTCAAAGTGCGGTTTTAGATGCCAATAACTAGGGTCAAGAGAAAATTGAAGCAGGTTAAAGAGAAGATTGAAGCAGGACCAGGAATAGATGAAAAAGGAAATTACCTGCATTAATTAGAAATAAGATTTGAAAGGCTTCTGTTAAGGCAGGAAATGGAATGTTCGATAGATCGAAAAACTGTTAAAATTGGATGCAAAGCTGTGAAAGAGAAAACATTTCTGATCTAAGAAAAGATCAAAAGTCAAGACGAAATGAGAACAAGAGAGTTTTGGCCTAATAGAACAACAAATCGATTTATAGAGATTCTTCTGTGCAGAATTGAGCAAATAGAAGACAGAGTTTCGGCCAGTGGAAACAACAAATAGGTTACAGAGTTGATTCGGTCAAAAGAAGAAATAGAAGGAAAGAGTTTGTTCCGTAAAAGAAAAAATCAAAAATAATTTTTGCCGTGAAATAACAAATTGATGACCGGGTTTCTGCAGGTCGCCAAGGAAGTGGATGACTTTAAAGAAATTCGTAGCGACAACAGGGAGCAATTGGATGGTTTTAAATTTTTACCAATGCCTGCTCGTTCCTTCTCTGAAACTATCTACATATGATGGGAAAGACCTCCTAGCAAGTGTATAGGACACAATTTTCTATAGTGGCGGAAGCGAATGGATGGGATACTTCCCAAGCTAAAGGCCTGTCATCTTTGGCAGCTTCTTTGAGAGTAGACGCAGCAGATATCCTGCCAGACATCTTCCTGGAGAACCAGAGGCTAGACTTTCGAAGCTCTATCCGGCACATTGGAGCTGCACTTTGGAGGAGAAGTGTTTAAAAAAGACTTACAGTCAGGCTTCAACTAAAAATCCCGTCAGCAGAAGCCCATCGAAACACTTCAGGAGCTCGCCACGGATGTTGAAAGGTTATGTTCACATTACGCCTTTTTGGAATGCCCGACAGAAACAAGAGAAATCCTGTCGCTGCAATATTTCATCGATGGCATCCGGGATACCGAAATACAGAAGGCTTTACGAATGGCGAACGTTAAAGATTTGAAAAGCACTTTAGTGTATGCCATGAAATTCGAGGCAGCCCAGCAAGCCACTCGTCGAGACCGCCACCCAGTCAGAGCTGCTCAAGTCCAGGAGCCAGGGGATCAAGTCACCGCTCGTCTAGATGATTTAACTAGACAACTGAACGCCTTGAGACGGAATATTGGTGAGAAGAAACCGACCGTTAAGTGCTGGAACTGCGGTGCTGAAGGGCACATACGACGAAACTGCAGAATACCCCAGGGTACGGATGTTAAGACGGCTCCTAACAAACAGCAGGGAAACTAATTAGTGGCCATCTCGCGGGGCGGAGGTTTCCAGATAATGAAAAGCCCCAGTTTAAAGCGCATCAGATTTCTGCAGTGAGAGGCAGCAGTAATGGACTTTTCATAATAGGACATATTAATGGAGTTCCCTGCAAAATACAGGAGCCAACGTTACCATCATCCGGAAAGATTTGGCTCAGCAACTGGAAAGCAAACTTACCTGGACGGCTGCCCTGCGTTACCCTACAGACTGTGTCCGGTGAGAAGATCGACATCGATGGAAAAGTAAACATTAACATCACGTTTGGAAGTGCCGCTTACCATCATATGGCATATGTAGCAGAGATCGCTGATTCTTGCATACTCGGATTGGACTTTCTAAGGAAATACAATTTTTCCTTGGACTTTAAAAATAACGAATTGCATTCTACATCTGAGGACATAGCGTTATTTGGAGTTAATGATGAAGAAGTTAAATCTGTCCATAAAATCATAGCACAAGACAATATCACAATACCCGCAAGAACCGAGTTTTAGCTTCTTGGATCCATAGCCGAAATAGAAATTTCCGCTACGGCGTTATAGAATATCCCAATAGCTGTAATAGCTCGAAAGGAGTACTAGTAGCCTCAACACTCGTTGACCTATCCAAAACGGTTATTCCAGTGAGAGTCGTGAATGTAACTGAGAAGGCGAGAGTTGTTAAGAAAGGTGAAGTGGTTGCTGCATGTACTCCAGTAACCAGCGTTGAAAGAAAGAGTAACATCCAAGAATCCGTGTCTTCAGAAAGCATTACATTGGAGTTATTGCAGAATGCGCAATTAAACGAAGAGAAGAATGCTGCCGATCACGTCATTAAAGATCTTCAAGTTGTTTTCTCCCGCTCGTCTTCTGATGTGGGTCGAACTAGTTTGACACAACATAGAATCGATACCGGTGATCATTCCCCGATCAAGCAACATCCGAGACGTCTACCGTTTGCTAAACAGGAAGAGGTACGAACACTTTTAAAGGATATGGAAGAAGGCAATGTCATCGAGCCTTCAGCAAGTCCATGAGCATCTCCCATCGTCCTAGTCAGAAAGAAGGACGGCTCAACAAGATTTTGCGTCGACTATCGCCGGTTGAATGAGGTTACGAAGAAAGACAGTAACCCTCTTCCTAGAATTAGTGATGAGTAGGTACTACCGAACCGGGTATTTTGTAATGGGTACTGAAAATTGGTACATCCAATTACCCGTTACTTCAGTACCGAAATCGGTACTTTTTGGTATTCGGTACTCCTGTACCGAAACGGGTACTTTTCAGTATTTGTTACTTCTGTACCGAAACGGGCACTTTTCGGTATTCGTTACTTCTGTACCGAAACGGATACTTTTCGGTATTCGTTACTTCTGTACCGAAATGGGTACTTTTTGGTATTCGTTACTTCTGTACCGAAACGGGTGCTTTTTGGTATTTGTTACTTTGTAACAGAAATATGCATCTTTTCTCGGTATTTCGGTATTCGTTACTGGAGGATTGATGAGGGTTCAGCTCATTTCGGTTTTGGTAGGAGGACAGTAGTATCTGGTTGTATTTGCGAAATGGTGATATGCACTTCTTGTGTCCATGAATGGTCTGCTCCTCAGACACTTCCGTAGTTGACATGTTTTCTGATATTCAAAATCTTACTCCGTACAGATAAAATCAAACACGTGGTGACGTGGCAGAGTTCCTTCAGTGTGCAAAATCGTTAGCTGTGTATTTCGGTACTCCAAAGTGAGGGTACTTTGGTACTCCAAATTGTTACTAGGGTACTTCGGTACTCCAAATCGTTACTAGGGTACTCCGGTACAGTAAACCGTTACTAGGGTACTCCGATACAGCAAACCATTACTCCGGCATTTCGTTACTTCGGTACTCCAAATCGTTACTTGGGTACTCGGTACTTGAAATCGGTTTTCGATACTTTTCAAAGTAACGGTTACTTGAGTAACGAGTATTTTGTACCGGGTACAGGAATGTACCGAAGTTGCCCATCACTACCTAGAATTGACGTCATTTTAGACACTCTTTCTGGAAGCAAGTGGTTCTCAACACTTGATTTAAAGAGTGGGTATTGGCAGGTAGAAATACAGCCTGAAGACCGAGAAAAGATGGCATTTACTATGGGACAAGGGCTTTGGCAATTCAAGGTGATGCCGTTTGGACTGTGTAATGCGCCGGCAACATTCGAACGACTTATGGAGACTGTTTTGAAAGGCCTTTCCTACGAAGCCTGCCTGATATACCTGGACAACATCATCATCATCGGAAAGAGTTTTGAAGAACATTTAGAAAAATCTTAGGAAGGTGCTTCAGAAACTGAAAAAAGCCAATCTGAAGCTGAGTCCCGCTAAATGCAAATTGTTCCGAAAAGAAGTGACTTACCTGGGACATGTCATCTCTCCAGAAGGTGTGTGCGCGGATCCTGAAAAGGTATTAGCGGTTAAATCCTGGAAATGTCCATCAGCTGAGAAGCTTCCTAGGGCTTTGCACCTACTATAGGAGATTCATGAAAGACTTTTCTTCCATCACAAGACCCCTTCACAAGCTGACAGAGAGCAACCAAAAGTTCTTGTGGACAAAAGAGAATGCGAGGATGCATTTAACAACTTAAAAGAGGCTTTAACATCTGCTCCAATCCTGACGTATCCTCAGCTCGACATACCATTTATTCTCGACACCGACGCGAGCAATGAAAGTGTCGGTGCTGTTTTGTCCCAAGAAATAAACGGCCAGGAATGTGTAGTGGTGTACTGGAGCAAGTGCCTGTCTAAACCAAAGAGGAATTACTGTGTCACCAGGAAAGAGTTGCTCGCCATAGTCAAAGCTGTAGAACATTTCCATCATTATCTATACGGCAGAAAATTCCTCCTCCGCACGGACCATGCCTCATTGGCCTGGCTTTTAAATTTCAAGAATCCTGAGGGTCAAATAGCCAGGTGGATACAGAGACTCCAATATATATGAAGAAGTCCAAGAATATGACATCACTATCCGTCATCGTAAGGGATCATTACACGGGAATGCCGACGCCCTGTCTAGACAACCTTGCCCAGAAAGCTGCCGATATTGTTCCAGGGTGGAAGCGAAATACGAACTGCTGACTCCAGTCACAAGACAAATTACAACATCAACATCGGCTGATCGAGACCCGTGGAGTGATGATGAAGTCAGGAAACACCAACTGAAAGACCGCGACCTTAAACCCATAATTGATTTAACGGAGTCATCAAACAGAAAACCTACTTGCAGGACATTTCTATCTGTAGTCCTACAACAAAACAATACTGGGCACTCTGGGATTCACTTCACATTCGAAATGGCGTATATATACCGGAAATTCGAATCGGATGATGGGAAGACGTTCCGATGGCAACTGATACTTCCAAGATCCTGGATTCCTGATGTCCTTAAAGAGCTACATAACAGCCCTACAGGAGGTCACTTTAGAATTCTGAAGATCTTACAGAGAGTTCGTGAGCGCTTTTACTGGAATAATGCAAAGCATGACGTGCAAAAGTGGTGCTGATCTTGTAATGCCTGTGCAGGTTGGAAAGGACCGAGGAAACGCAGCCGAGGCAAGCTGCAACGTTACAACGTAGGGGCGCCATTTGAACGTATCTCCTTTGACATCTTGGGACCTCTGCCACGAACTGCTGATGGCAACAAATACATACTCGTTGTCATTGATTACTTCACCAAGTGGCCTGAAGTGTATCCTATTCCTGATCAAGAGGCTGTTACAGTAGCTGAGGTGATGATACAGCACTGGATTTCCAGGTTCGGAGTGCCTCTTCAGTTACATTCCGATCAGGGAAGGAATTTTATGTCGGCAGTAATCAAAGAACTCTGCAAATTACTTGGCATTGACAAAACCCAAAAGACGCCATTACATCCCCAGTCGGACAGCATGGTAGAAAGGTTCAATCAAACCATCCTTAATAACCTCTCATTATTGGTTTCCAGAAACCAACAGGATTGGGACAAGGAATTACCACTGTTTTTACTGGCTTACCACAGTGTTGTCCACGAGACTACCAGCTATTCCCCATCACAGATGCTCTTCGGTTGTGACCTTCGTCTGCCTTGTGATCTCTTATTTGGCCACCCTCCGGATGCTCCTTCATCATCTGAGGAATATATTCAAGATCTCCAGGCCCAGTTTAAAGTAATGCACAACTTTGCACGAGAGCGAGTCAACTTGGCTACAGAGAAGATGAAGACCCGCTACAACACAAGAGCTACTGAACATCAATTCCACGAAGGAGACAAGGTGTGGTTGTGGAATCCGACTCAACGGACTCTGTTTGAAAGGACTCTGTTCGAAATTACAGTCACCTTGGGATGGTCCGTACACAGTCCTGAACAGACTGAATGACGTCATGGTTCGGATCCGTAAGTCTTCGAACTCTAAGCCTAAAGTTGTTCATTACAACAGGTTAGCTCATTACTATGGCCATAGTATGTAATGTAATTAATTGTATTAATTGTAAATAGTATAAGACCATGGTCCTTTTTTGTTTTTAAATGTGTAATTGATTTGATTTGTATTTAGTATTTGTTTTGTATTTAGTATTTGATAGCATTTGATTTGTTTAAGTTAGTTATTGCATTTACTGTTCATGTTGTTTGATATTGTAATGTAATGTTTATGCCTCAGTTATAAGTTTGACTTCCTGTCCGGGGATTGTACTGCCCGGGTCGGGCAGTCCTTGGGAAGGGGGCAGTGTTACGAATTTGGTATTTAAAAAGCTAATGTTAGTTCAATTATAAATTAAATAGTTTCATTTCCCGCGCAGTGCAGCGCGTGACGAATATTACAAGAAGAAAGCTAAGCCGGAAAATTAAAAATACAAGAGTACGTGCATTTAACATTAAATAAATAAATATGTCTTTTTGATTTCGAGAAAGTACCAGAAAATTCTCGCACGCGATTTAAAAATCTTATAAAAGAAGGAAAACCTCTCAGTTCATAATAGTTGCTGTTGTTTGTTGTTTAGAAAACTGCTCTTGTTGATTGTAGCGAATTTGCGAATTAGCTTTCTTTAGCTGTGTTGAATTAAGTTCTTTTGAACGTTTGAGTAGTTAAAAGATAACTACTGTGAGATACTGTAATATTGCATGATAATTTGAGAAAATTTAAGCATTTTTGTTGTGATAATAATAAATTTTTGTTCATTTTTCATCGGACTTGTGCATTCATTTCATAACGAATCCGTACACATGCAACAATATTTTGGTGTTTCATCAGCTATTTTTATTCTTTTTAAGGTACCAACGAGGACATCAAGTCTATCTTCTCCAGAACTGGCAAAGTCTTCAAACTGTGCAGCAGAAAACTGGTTCTGTAGTTCATCTAAAGCATCATTATGACATTCATTTTCTTTAATTGTTAACAAAAATGGAAATTTATCAATAAAAAAATGAATTTTATCAACTCATTAATTACCAAGGAGGCAATATTATCCCCCGTAGCATCTCCAGCAAAAGATGAGTTTTCATTTCATTAGAAACATCACAGAAATATGTGACAATGATGGGGTAAAGCTTCCAATCGCTGTCGTTGCTGCCATCGATTGACACTGAAAATGCTGAATTCTGGAGTGCAGCTATCGTTTTACTTTGTGCATCACAAGCAATGTCGTTCACAATAGAAGACGTTTTCGTGCGAGCACAAGCATATTTCTGAGCAATCTCTGAGTCGGGAAACATCTGTCTGAAAAATTGACCGGCGTGATCGGCAGCACTTAACGGCACGTTGTGTTCCATGAGGAATGCAGTAAACAAACACTCTGCCAAAATGACATCGGCATCCGAATTCATAGCCGAATTTGAAAAAAAAATCATCCACTTTCTTTGACGTTGTCAAAGCCGAAGCATTAACTTCATGCTTTTTAGACTTAACATGCTTCACAATGTCGCTTCTTCCACTGTGACTTATTATGAAGTCACACACGCACACGTTGCAAAATGCATAGTTATTTCCTTTGAAGGATTCTTTAATTGTTGGAAATTCGGCTTTGTAGGCAGGCCGAAAATATTGAGAATATGGTTTTTTTTTAACTTATTTCGTAACAATGACGTAATAAGAAAATTCGTCGCACGTGCAAACAAACAAACAAAAAAAAAAAAAAAAAAAAAAAAAAAAAAAAACAGAATGCGACAATCCACGCTTGCTGAGTCTGAGCTGAGTAATTCCCTTGCTGCTGAAGCGAACGCGAAAAAAATAATTTGGCACCCACAAAGAAAAGAGTGGGAGAAACAAGTTCAGCGCATTGGATTGGCTAATTAAGCGTCGAGTTGGGAGAAACCGCAAGTTACTGGATTTGAAGTAGTCGGTAGTTGGCAGTAAAACACGATGCAATTGGCGAAAAATTCCAAATTTCGACAAAAATCACTAAAAACACTTGAAAAAGGAAAAAAATCGTAATAAATGGATTACGATCTAAAAATCGTAAAGACAAACGCATTTTCGTAAAAATTACGAAAAATTCATAAAAGTTGGCAGGTATGAATACGCAAAAGCATACAAATTCTCTCTTCCTGCCTCATGTGCATAAAAGAAATTATTCTTATCTAATCTTTAAAAGATGATATAATTGTGGAAAAATATAATATCTGTAATACACAGTATAACACACTGTTTTACCGGATAATGGAAACAAAAAATATTTTTTTAACAATAGACGAGTGCATGGAATTTCAGGAAGATGAGACGGATCAATCTGATCAAGGAAAGTTACAACCCTTGTCAAGAAGTTTTATACCTATCCAGGTATGAATACAAATTAAGAAAAGCATGCATCAGAGGGATTACTTGTAACCAGAGAACATATACATTCATTCTGACAGACTATTTTAACCCCACTTACATCATTCCAAAATATGCACGTAGATGGTCATGACTGTTATTTTCTAGTGAAAATAGCATCAAGTGTGTTTGAGTTGTAAATCATGTAGCCTGTAAATCATGGCTAATTAAAAGTACAGATTTACAGCAAAAACATAATTTATAATAAGTCTCCTCAAACTACGCACTGTTATTTTTTCTCTAGATAAGAATATAAGCTGTAAAACATTATGCTGTTTGTTTTGTATTATGCTAGTATGCACTATTATGTCCTAAATTATTTTATACAATATATTTATTGTGTTAATTTTATTGTAAAACAGCGTTCAATAATAAAACATTTTACAGATTAATCTATTAAAAGCTTGCTTAGGGAGTCAACAATGATTTTCAATGTAAAGCAAGAAAGTAATTTAATGATTAATAATTACATTTTTCTTATTACTTAAAAGTTATAACAGAATAAAAAAAATTAGTATTATAACCAAGAGATATTTTTTCAGACAGGAAATAAAACATTATGTATCATACTTTTTATTCTTACTTATCAAACATTATTTTAGTCAAGAATGGATAGCTGAAATCTTCTTACTTATTATTAAGGGAAAATTATAATAAAAACATAACAATTAGATAATGAAGGTTAATATATTGAAAATTAAGAGCATATGAGTTCCATAATCTTGCAATCAAGCATATCAAATTTTGATTCCCTTATGACTGATTCCCAGAAGAAACTCCAAACTCACAATTGCCAACAGGAAAAATATTCATTGAAAATAATTTTCAGCTTATACAAAGAGAATTTCATTTCAAAATTTTGCCGAATTTTTTGTGAGTTTCAAAATGGAAACAGAGCCGGAAAGGGCGAAGGCGACGGCAAGGAAGGGAGAGAATAGACAGACGACAGAGAGAAGGAAGGATACTATATTAGAAGATATATTAATTATATATATATAACAATCAAATGCTGTATGAAATTAAATCATTAGTGCGAATACAAGTATTATACTGCGCATTGCTGCAAAGTAGTAATATAATTTATTTCCTAAGTTAATTAAGTAGACTTATTAGTGGAATGACATTTAGTGATTCAATCGCGTAACTAGCAAGAGATAAAGTAGGAGGTGAAACCTCAATACAGTAAAGTTTTTGTATAAGAACTAAAACTAAAAAGGTTGGAGATAATATATAAAGCGGGTAATAGGTAAGAGAGAATAGCGCTAATAGCTGCTATAGCATATCAATGTTGTATGAACTTAAATCATTTTCGTGCGAATACAAGTATTATACTTGCGCATTGCTGCAAAGTTAGTTAAAATAATTTATTTCTAAACAGTATTGATTAATTGATATATTATCTCCTAAGTTAATTAAAGAGAATTATTGGGAAGACACTTAGTGATTTCCATAGAGTTAAAATAGCACGATATAAAAGTAAGGAGGTGCTAACCTTCATACAGTAAGTTTTTGTATAAGAACTTTAAAACTTAACAGGTTGGAGATAATATATAAATCGGGTACATTAGGTAAGAGATAAAGAGCGCTAATAGCGCTATTTAGAATATCAAAGTTGTATGAACTTAAATCATTTAGTGCGAATCAAGTTATTATTACTTGCCACAATTGCGCAAATGTTAATAATAATTTTTCCTAACAGTATGATAATTGTTATATTTACTCCTAATGAAAAGTTTATACAAAAACTTTACTGATTGAAGGTAGAAACCCTCCTTACTTTATATCTGCTAGTCATATATTGAAACACAAGTCATTCCACAAATAATTTACTTTAATTAAATTAGGAGATAATAAATCAATATCAATACGTTTAGGAAATAAATATTATTAATAATTTGCGCAATTGGCAGTAATATAACTTGGATTCACACTAAATGGATTAAGTCATCAACATTGAATGCTAAAGAGCAGCTATTAGCGCTTGATACAGCCAATGTACCCGCTTTAGTATTATCCAACCTTTTGAAGTTGGAAATTTATACAAAAAACTTTACTGTATGAGGTGGTTAGCAACCTCTTACTTTTATATTTGCTAGTTTAACTCATATGAAATCACTATGTCATTCCACTAAATATTCTACTTTAAATTAACTTAGGAGATAATATAATCAATTAATCATACTGTTTAGGAAATAATTATTATTAACTAACTTTGCAGCAATTGCGCAAGTAATAATAACTTTATTCGCACTAAATGGATTTAAGTTCATACAACATTTGATATGCTAAATAGCAGCTATTAGCGCTATTTATCTCTACTAATGTACCCGCTTATATATTATCTCCAACCTTTTAAGTTTTAAAGTTCTTATACAAAAACTTTACTGTATTGAAGGTTAGCACCTCCTATTTTATATCTTGCTATTTAACTCATATGAAATCACTAATGTATCCATAAATGATTATACTTAATTAAACTTAGGAATAATTATATTAACTAACTTTGCAGCAATTGCGCAAGTAATAATAAATGTATTCGACTAAGTGGATAAATTAACAGCATTGAGATGTTAAAATAATATATATATATATATATTTATATATATAAAATCCAATGCTTATGAACTTAATCCTTTAGTCGATAAGTTAAATTACTTGCGCAATGCTGCAAAGTTAGTTAATAATTTATTCCTATTTAATAAGTAAATCTTTAGTGGAATGACATTTAGTGATTTCAATATGAGTTAAACTAGCAAGATATAAAAGTAAGGAGGCTGCTAACCTTCAATACAGTAAAGTTTTTGTATAAGAACTTTAAAACTTAAAAGGTTGGAGATAATATATAAAGTGGGTACATTAGGTAAGAGATAAATAGCGCTAATAGCTGCTATTTAGCATATCAAATGTTGTATGAACTTAAATCCATTTAGTGCGAATACAAGTTATTATTACTTGCGCAATTGCTGCAAAGTTAGTTAATAATAATTTATTTCCTAAACAGTATTGATTAATTGATTATATTATCTCCTAAGTTTAATTAAAGTAGAATTATTTAGTGGAATGACATTTAGTGATTTCAATATGAGTTAAACTAGCAAGATATAAAAGTAAGGAGGTTGCTAACCTTCAATACAGTAAAGTTTTTGTATAAGAACTTTAAAACTTAAAAAGGTTGGAGATAATATATAAAGCGGGTACATTAGGTAAGAGATAAATAGCGCTAATAGCTGCTATTTAGATATCAAATGTTGTAATGAACTTAAATCCATTTAGTGCGAATACAAGTTATATTACTTGCGCAATTGCTGCAAAGTTAGTTAATAATAATTTATTTCCTAAACAGTATTGATTAATTGATTATATCTCCCTAAGTTTAATTAAAGTAGAATTATTTGTGGAATGAATAGTGATTTCAATATGAGTTAAACTAGCAGATATAAAGTAAGGAGGTGCAACCTTCAATCCAGTAAGTTTTTGTAAGAATTTAAACTTAAAAAGGGTGGAGTAATAATAAAGCGGTAATTAGGAAGAGATAAATAGCGTTAAGCTGTATTTAGCAATCAATGGTATGACTAAATCCATTAGTGGAATCAATTTATTATTTAATTGCCAATTGATGCAAAGTTGTTAATAATAATTTATCCAAAACAGTATTGATTAATTGATATTATTCTAATTATTAAGTAGAATATTAGTGAGACTTTAGTGATTCAAATGAGTTAACTAGCAATTATAAAGTAGGAGGTTGCTACTTCAATACAGGAAAGTTTTTGTATAAGAACTTAAAACTTAAAAAGGTTGGAGTAATATATAAGCGGGTACATAGGTAAGGATAAATGCGCTATAGTGCTATTTAGTATCAAATGTGTATGAACTTAAATCCATTTAGTGCGAATACAAGTTATTATTACTGCGCAATTGCTGAAAGTGTAATTAATTATAATTTATTCCTAAAAAGTATTGATTATGATATTTATCTCTAAGTTTAATAAAGAGATTATTAGTGGAATGACATTAGTGATTTCAATATGAGTTAAATAAAATATAAAGTAAGGAGGTTGCTAACCTTCAATACAGTAAGTTTTGTATAGAACTTAAACTAAAAGGTGGAGATAATGATATAAAGGGGTACATTAGGTAAAAGATAAAAGCCTAATAGCTGCTTTTAGCATATCAATGTTGTATGAACTTAATCCATTAGTGTGATACAAGTTATTATTACTTGGCAATTGCTGCAAAGTTGTTAAAATATTTATTCCTAACAGTATTGATTAATTGATTATTATCTCCTAAGTTTAATTAAAGTAGAATTATTTAGTGGACGACATTTAGTGATTTCAATATGGTTAAACTAGAGATATAAACGTAAGGAGTTGCTAACTTCAAGACAGGAAAGTTTTTGTATAAGAACTTAAACTAAAAAGTGGAAAATATAAAAGGGGTCTTAGTAGAGATAATAGCGCTACTAGCTGCTATTAGCATATCAAAGTGTATGAACTTAAAGCCATTTAGTGCGAATCAAGTTATTTTACTTGCGAATTGCTGCAAAGTAGTGATAATATATTCCTAAACAGATTGATTATTGATTATATTATTCCTAGTTTAAAGTCTATACAAAAAACTTTACTGTATTGAAGGTTAGCAACCCTCCTTACTTTTATATCTGCTAGTTCAATATATGAAATCACTAAATGTATTCACAAATAATTACTTATTAAACTTAGAGATAATATAATCAATATCAAGTAGTTTAGGAAATAAAATTATTATTAAATAACTTTGCAGCATTGCGCAAGCAATAATAAAACTGTATGCACCCTAAATGGATTAAGTTTATTACAATTTGATAGCTAAATAGCAGAATTAGGCATTTATCTCTTACTAATGTCCCGTTTATAATTCCAACCTTTTAAGTTTTCAAAGTCTTCTATACAAAAAATTCGTATGAGGTAGAACTCCTTACTTTATATCTTGCTAGGTTTACTCATATGAATCACTAAATGTCATCCACTAAATAATCTACTTTCATTAAGGGAATTAATATAATAATTAATAATATGTTTAGGAATAAAATATTCTTAAATAATTTGCAGCAATGCGAAAAATATAACTGGTATCACACTAAATGGATTAATTATTAAAACATTGATATGCTAAGCGCTATTGCGCTATTATGTCTTAACTAGGTTACCCGATTTAATATTCCCAACTTTTTAGTTTAATAGTTTTATACAAAAACTTTATGTATGAGGTTAGCAACCTCCTACTTTTATCTTGCTAGTTAACTCATATGAAATCACCTAAATGTCATTCCACTAATAATTTATTTAATTAACTTAGAGATAATATAATCAATAATCATACTGTTTAGGAAATAAATTTATTAACTAATTTCAGCAATTGGCAAGTATATAACTTGTATTCGCCTAAAAATTTTTTAAGTTCTAAACATTTGATATGCTAAATAGCAGCTCTTAGCGTTTTATTTCGTACCTAATAATGCCCGCTTTATTTTATCTCCAACCTTTTAAGTTAAAGTTCAGTTAACAAAAACTTTCCTGTTTGAAGGTTAGGACCCTTACTTTGATATCTTGCTAGTTTAACTCATATTGAAAACATACTAAATGTCATTCACTAATAATTTACTTTAATTAAACTTAGGAGATAATATAATCAATAATCAATACTGTTGAGGAAATAAATATTATTAAATAATTGGCAGCATTCGCAAAGTAATAATAATTTGTATTCGCCACTAAATGGATTTAAGTTCATACAACATTTGATAGCTAAAAGCAGTATAAACGCTATTATCTCTTACCTAATGTACCCGCGTTATATATTATCTCCAACCTTTAAGTTTTAAAGTTCTATACAAAAACTTATGTATGAAGGTAGACCTCTTATTTTATTTGTAGTTAAGTCATATGAAGCACTAATGTCATTCACTTAATAATTCTACTTTAATTAAACTAGAGTAAATAATCAATTAATCAATATGTTTAGGAAATAAATTATTATTAACTAATGCAGAATTGAGCAAGTATAAGAACTTGTATTCGCACTAAATGATTTAAGTTCAACAACATTGGATAGGTAAATAGCAGCGATTAGCGCTATTTATTTTACAATGTACCCGCATTATATATTTATTGATTCCAACCTTTTAAGTTTTAAAGTCTATACAAAAACTTACTTATTGAGGTAGAACTCCTACTTTATATTTGCTCGTTAACTCAATGAAATCAGAAGTCATTCCATAATAATTCTTTTAATTAAACTTAGGGGAGATATATAATCATTAATCAATATGTAGGAAATAAATTATTTAATAACTTGCAGCAATTGCGAAGTAAAATAATAATTGTATTCGCACTAAAGGATTTAAGTTATAAACATTGATAGATAAATAGCAGCTATTAGAGTTTTTATCTCACTAATGTCCCGCTGATATATACTAAACCTTTTAAGTTTAAAGTTTATACAAAAACTTACTGTATTGAAGGTTAGCAACCTCCTTACTTTATATCTTGCTAGTTTAACTCATTTGAATCACTAATGTCATCCCTCTAAATGCTTCTCTTAATTAACTTAGGAAATAAATTATTATTAACTAACTTTGCGCATTGCGCAAGTAATAATAACTTGATTCGCCATAATGGATTTAAGTTATACAACATTTGATATGCTAATAGCAGCTATTAGAGCTTTATCTATTACCTAAAGTACCCGCTTTTATATTATCCCAACCTTTTAGTTTAAAGTTCTTATACAAAAAATTTTAGTATTGAAGGTTAGCAACCTCCTTACTTTATATCTTGCTAGTTTAACTATTGAAATCACTAAATGTATTCCACTAAATAATTTACCTTTAATTAAACTTAGAGGTGAATATAATCAATAATCAATACGTTTGGAAATAAATTATATATATACATAGATATACAGTCAAAGTCGTTAATCGGACCTCAAAGCTCAAAACTTTCTGCGCATACCTTTACATGCGCATCGCCGCGCATATACATTTACGAATGCGCATAGCATTTACACATGCCCGTTTTAATAGACGGATTGATAAAGCTAAGTAATTATCTAATTATCTATTTCAGAATTGTTGAAGATTGCGTTGTTGATTCCTAATCTTCGATTGGATCCGGCTTATATTTTTTGCAGACTGTTAGAGCAATTTTACAAAAGTAAGCTTGAACTTTCGATATGTCAAAAAGAAATTTCCGATTCTGGAGCTGCCAAATTATATATATATATATTATATTATATTAATATATACGACTTCGTTTTGTCCAGCAAACAAAAAGTTTAATGCGCAAAAATAGGGAAGGATATCATTTGTTTCTCTAAATTCCAAATCAGTTTATCAATTCACGATGCTATGCGGGGGGAGGGGGGACTTCGCGGCGCCAATGAATGGAAATTGATCTGTCAGCACATCCTCATCTTCAGAGCAGATGTTTTACTTTATTCGACTTATAATTCCTTACTAAATGTGTGTTCATCTCAATACTCCAATATGATTTAAATCAATTTCCTCGTCATTAGAAATATCCGAATAAAATAACATAGTTTTCTGGTTCAATTTTCTAATTTCGACTATGCGTAATGTATGCTTTACGCATGCGCGTGTTGAAAGAAATGTTTAACAAAATTAACAAATAAATATTAGCTTTTTTTTTTTTTTTTTTGTAAATTTTGATACTCTTTAGATCATAATTGTTCTTTACTTCATAAATTACGGTTTCAAATTCTAATTTTATAATTTCTGCATGCCATCTAACCAGATTTAATTTGATGATCTATAATCCGGAAAAATTGATAATCCGGAATCGCCGAACTCTCGGTGAGTCCGGATTAAAGACTTTTGACTTTATATATATGTATACATAATAGAAGACTGAAAATTCTGCTCACTTAAAATTTCCCAATAGCCCAAATCTTCTAACATTCAAACATAGATGATTTTGATAGCTTTTAACAACATTTGCAAATTATCAGTTTCTTTATTTATTATTAAGCAAATATGAGTATCAGTTTCTTTATTTATTATTAAAGCAATTTCCACATTCTATTGATTACTGCTTTTTTTACTTGATACCAAATAATATTTTCCAAAAGTCACTAAGTTTATACCCACAATTAAGATTAAGGAATCAGTGGGAAAGAGCTAAAATATGTGCAAGTGCTCCAATGATAGTCATTTTGTACTGTGAACATGTCCATGAATTTGGAAGGATGCTGAGTGATAAATGAAAAATTTTACATCTTGTGCAAAGTCAACATCTGCCAAGTCATCTGAATGATAAATGGCATGGTTAGATAACACAATTGCCAAAAAGCTCTGGAAGCGCAATCAAAAATACTTTAGAAGATGTTGTAGGAAATCAGAAATACTATATTAAGGACAAATGAGTGCTCAAAAGTTTAAATTAATTCTGTTTTAAGATATGAAGATATAATAGGCATTGCATTGAATAGTAAAAAGAATTTAATGAATTGAACTTTTTAGCCATAGAAATACATAAAAAATTTTAAATGCAAATTTAGCGATTGCCAGAAAATAATAAAATAAACACTTTTTGTAGCACCCCTTTTCACTTCAAAAACCACATTTTTAGAGTCAAACATTCATGAATTTTTGAGTTAAACTTATGAAAAATTACTTGTATCTTGCTACAACAGGCATGTCAATCTCAGTACCTATCTCAGTGTAGGCCAAATAGTTATCAGTGTACAATAGAGAGGGCCACCTGGATGGGAAGACTATTTTCAAACTTAATGGTGTATTTAAAAAGCAGCGCAAAGAGTATTCAATAAAACTGTAGTTTAAAAAAAAATAGTAGGAACATTAGGAAACGTGGATATCTAGTGTCTCAACAGATGGCATCTTTTACTGCAATCAAATTCAAATGTCTGAAGATATGCCATTTAAACTAACAAATTTCAGAACAGAGGTCAGATGATTATCTTAAGCTGGATCTTGTAGGTGATTTGTTCCATTACAAAACTGAAAAAAGCCACGTTTGGTACATATTACCAAACATCGAAATTATGTATGAAGCAAATTTCCGCACAGTTAAGTATTTTTTAAATTCAAGGATAATCACTTCTCTGAATTTCTGCATATAATTTCCTGTTTCCTTTCTGAATTTACTCATACTGAATTCCTATTAATTTCATCTTTAAAAGGGCTGGCAATTTCTCAACATTGGTTGAAAAGGAAGCAGAAAATTAGGAGTGTTCATCTTTGATGGATCTAATACTGCAGAGCCTTTTTTACTATTCAACTGCTGAGGCTTCTAGGCATATGCTTTGCACAAAACAGGCTATGTTTAATTTGTTTTGTAATTAGCAGGTTAGCAGAAGTTAGGAAAGGTATTAGGTCTTTGTTTTTAACTGTCTTCTACAGCAATCATTTGTGTTAGTTTGTTTTTATCTCACGATGTTATATCTTTTTCTTGTGTTTTCAAATTCAAATCTGGCAAGTATTTTGTAATATTAATGATAAAACAAAGATCTCAGAGTTTTTATTCCAATTTTTGAAAAAACATGATTGTTGCCAAATGGTTACATTATGAAAAAAAAAAAAAAAAAAAAAAAAAAAAAAAAAAAAAAAAATTGGTAGGCAAATGTGTAATAACAATTTTATGTAATAATACATACCTTATAAACTTGTTCAAACAATTTTAGAACCTTGAATACATCAAAATAACAACAAACATAAAATCAAAATTTCGTAAATACAAATAATGTCCACACCCTACACATAACTCACAATAAATGACAGTTACCCCATTAGTGTTACATTGATACTTTCGAAACTATATACGTAAACAGTATGCATCCAATTGGTTACAGTATGCAGCAAGCTAAAATTTGTGTTTTGATTTGATTTGCATGACTAAATATGAGTAAGTTGCCAAATGGCAACTATATTTAAGGGCTAAAGAAAACTGGGAATGGCGAATATAAAACAAACTTAGTAGCTGACTCTGGAATTTAAAAAAAAAAAATACTTCATCAATTTCTTTGAGAAACAAGGAATCAATTTTAGATTCACGAGAAAAATCTAAATTTGCTAGAGGAAGGAAACGCATGAGAAATGCGTCCCAAGAAGACCTAGAAAAAGCCTCTAATGCTATGGTTCCAGGAAGCTAGATTTCAAACTTTTCCGATAAATGGATACCTACTGCAGACAAAGGCTGAAATGGAAAGTCAAACGGGTATTGAAGATTTTAAATGGAGTGATGGATACCTTTCTCGATTTTAAGTTAAGGTATAATGTTTCTTATCAAACTGTATGTGGCCAAAGCTCTGATGTAAGTGAAGTCATATGCACTTATTTCAGTAGGAAACTGCCATGACTTTTCTCTACTTACCTGCTGAAAGATATTTTTAATGCAGATGAAATTGCATTTTCTTATCAACTCTTGCCAAACAAGACATTACATTTAAAAAAGGATGCTTGCGTAGGAGGTAAAAGCAGTGAACAGAAGATTACAGCTTTAGTCTGTGCTAATATGAATGGGAACAAAAATGTTAAACTCTTAGCGATTGGAAAGTCCAAGAATCTACTGTGTTTTAAAGGAATTCAACACTGCCAGTTGATTATGTATCTAATACAAAAGTATGGATAATATATTTTCAGTGACTGGTTAAAAGGAACAGATAAAGCAGTTTTGGGGGGAAAACCAAAACATTTTGTTATTTGTGGAAAACGGAACCTGTCATATTAGCCTTCCAGAACTGAATTCCATACAGGTTGAATATTTGCTGCCAAACACAACTGTGAAGCTACAATTAATGGATCAAGGAATCATCCAGAATCTTAAAACAAATTATCGTACAAGACTTACAACAAATAATTTTTTCTTAAGATTGTGGCTAAAACTACGACATTACTCTGCTGACAGCTACAAATTATCTATATACCACATAGGATGCTGTTAAAGAAAGTGTAATTAGTAATTGCTTTCATCATGCTAAATCCATGCATGCCAAAGAGAACAATCATATTGAAGAATGTGACGATACTGATACAGCTTTTTCCTGAATTCAAAAAATTTAAATGTGATAAAATTACTTTTTCTGATTAGGTAAGGGTAGATAAAGACTTGGAAGTTTGTTTAAAACTCAGCAATGATGACATAATAAAAACTATCCAAGAAGAAGAAAAAGAAAAGACCTTTTCAAATTCAGAAAAGAATGCAGAGACTGTTAAGTGTCCTAATAATTCAGCCATAATGGACTCTAGAAAAACTGAAAGCATTTATTCAGACTGAATGTTCCAATGTGTGTATTTAATTATGGCAAAGCACACTAGGGCTATCTGTCTAAGGAAGGGATGCCTTCGTGGAGGACTTTCTAGGGGAAACTGGCTCGTATACACATTACACATGGGGAAAACCCCGAAAACGCCCACGAACCAGCCTGTCGCGGGAGTTAGCGAACCTTATGGGCCGCTGTGGTGTTCCGCATTCGGCCGCTGATTTCCAATGAAATATTTATTTCAAATTGAGAAACTGAATGAAAAATGTAGGCATAATAAACAAAACTAAATTTTACCGCTTTTCCCAAAAGTGTAATTCATATGTTAATTAAAGTTTATTTTCACTGACATCTCTCACTTTATGATTAGATAAGTCTTTATGCTTTTTAACAGGTTTAATTTAGATAGCATATTATAACATATTTCTGGAGTATCATATAGGAGATTTTCTTTTCAGTGATATACTTTAAAGCTATATTTTCTCTTATCATCAGATAATTCAAACTCTTTTCTGAAAATCTTTGAGTTTAAATCAACGAGCATCTACTGTACATTTAAAAAAAAAAATTACCATTTTAAAATTAAAAAAGAGAAACTCCAGTTCATAAAGGAAAAGAAAGTTATATGTATAGCAGAACACAGAATTTATGAAAATCATAAACATAAATAACAGATGCACTTTTTAAAACCAGATAACATACATAAACAGATGCACATTTCTTTATTTCCTTATCTAAGCTCTCTTTCCTCCACTCCCACTACTCTCCTTAATCTGATTCTATCAGGTCAGATTGTAGAGTCATTAGGTTAATTGGAAGCAGGAAAGATGAAAAATTAACAACCGCCTTCGCTGGGAATCGAACCACGGACCCTCTGGAATACCTACCCAGCGTGCAGAACCACTCACCACAAAAATAGTAGGAAAGGAAAATGTATACTCCCTTTAAAGGGCGACTAGGGTTTTAGGGGACTAGTCGCCAAATCTGATGCGGAGAATCATCATCCACAACCCTTTTAGTTGGGCGCCATAGAGTCATTAGGTTATAATTGGAAGCAGGAAAGATGAAAAATTAACAACCGCCTTCACCAGGAATCGAACCACGGACCTCTGGAATACTGGCCCAGCATGCAGAACCACTACACCACGAAGGCATGGTAGGGAAGTGGGAGAAATGCCTTATAAGATCAAAGCAATGAAACACGAAGTTAACATTGTGAAATCTTAATTGCTTAAATAGCAAATTAAAAAATCAATTTATGTGAATTAAAAATTACTAGAATTTAAGGGACAACACAATTCTGTCCTACAGTCCATAAAACTCCAAACAGACGTTGATATCACACAATAAATAAAAGACTAATTCAAAAGTGATAACTTAAAATATAGAAAAATTTAAGTATTGGATGCATCTACTATTTGCTTAGTCTGCTGATACAGATTAGTTATTTCAAAATGTACTGAATGAAAGTAATTGGAACTGTATAATTTCATGTAGCAAAATACTTCACCTTTCAAACGCTTTGAGTCTGCACTTGGGACAAAGTTTCTTCTAAACTTTATTTCAGAATCTGAATTAATGGAAGCCACAATTACAACTTTTTCTTGAGTAAATCACAGTAATAAATATTTGATGCTTGTCTTTTTATGAGAAAATCTGCACAATAGTCTCCTAGGAAAAAAGGGGAAAATTAATAAATACATCAGATATTAAACTTTGAATAATACATTATTTCACACTTTCAAAACACAGTTTTTCTAAAGTACATGCTTATGCATAGTTTGAAAACTAAATTTCTTAGAACCTCCCCTTGTTTATATTAGTGAATTTACTGAATATTAGAAACATACACTTTTCAGTTCAACAACGTTAGCCTTCTTCATATATTCTTTTACCCTCTGAGTGGCATGGCTTTTTGGATCCGTTAATGAAGACTTCTATTTAAGCACCATTTATTAGCTAAATTTGTAGAATTACTTAGTTTAGTCTCTGTTTTCATAAACTTCCATTACTTAAGATGATATTTACATCATTAAAGAAAAAAAGTATTTTAAATTATAAGCTAATATACACTAACTGACAAAAAATTTCCTGACGGGATAAAGCCACTCATATCAAGAATTGTAAAAAACTGAAGACTTAAATTATCTAGTTTTAAAGCTGATTTAAATATACAAGTGACAGATTAACTCATTAGTTTACTGATAAGAGGTAAATTATATGTAATTGACTGAAAATAAATCTTCAGTTTTAAGACCTAAATAAATAAATATGGTTGTTCTGCATAAATACTTCTTTACATAAGCTTAAAATTATGAAAATTTATATAAAATGTTAAATTTAATTTTTTATTTCTCCTATTTCACAATGTTCATTACCCAGATACATTTTACATTCTCAATTAAATTTTCAGGTCATGAAATTTTATAAAAAGCAAATGCAGTTTGGCACTTGATCTTAGTTTATTTGATTATGGCAAAGAACTCGAAGGCTATCTGTGTAAGGGAGAGATACCTTCGTGGGGAACTTTCTAAGGAAAACTGGCTCCTATACAGGTTACACATGGGAAAAACCAGGAAATACCCATTCAACCAGGACACTTGCAGGATTTATAGCTTGGAACAAACTACCAATGTTCAGTGACTTCACTACTCAGCCACTAGTGAGGCATGCATAATAAGGATAATGAAGAAAACTGATCACGGCACAAAATTTTTCATTATTAAACACTTCTTATAAGGTACAAGAAACCACTGTACAAAATATTGTCATTTCACATTTAAAGATAGAGTCAAAGTTGGAAATGTGGAGGAAAAATACAGAATTACAGGATCCTTCTGAGCAGATTTATTACAATAATGGCAACTTTGTTTTTAAACTAACCACCTTCCGGCCCAAACTTTTTCTAAAAATGGATTTCTGTTCAATGATGGAAATTTTTCAGTTACATAGTCTGATTTAAAGACTACAAAAATGCAAACAATAGCATAAATTTTAATAAATAGCTTCTTCAATAAACATTCTACATTGCTTAGTAAAATAAAACTATGTTAAAAATATTCAATCAATGAGGACAAATTCTACAATACCTAATGAAATAATTACAAACCTTGGAAATGGCAGATAAATTATAAAATGACATTATGGTTTCATCAGGAATTTTTTAGTTCCAAGTAAGAGAAAGATAAAAGGTTTTTCCTCCAATGCCTAAAAAATTTAAATATGAAATTATTATATGTAGTATATAAATAATTCATAGTTAAAATATATAGCATGATAATTGCAATATTTCGCTTAAAGTTCACCGCCTTCTATTGCATGTTTAATACTATTAGAATACCAACATAAAATAAAGGGGTCAAGAACTTGTAATTACAGTCAAAAGTCGTTAATTCGACACCCATTTATCCGGAATGATCTATAATCCGGACCTTAAAGCTACAAACTTTCTGTGCATGCGTCGCGTTGACGCATGCGCGTAAGACCTTTACCGCTGCGAATTTGCGTGTGAGCAAAATACGTTTACGAATGCGCATTTAATGTATAACGGACGGGATAAGCTAAGCTAAAATTATCTAATTATCTATTTCAGTTAATGTCGCAGATTGCGTTGTTCCTTAATCTTCGAATTGGATCCGGATTATTATTTTTTGCAGACTGTTAGAGCAATTTTATAAAAGTAAGCTTAAACTTTCGATTATGTCAAATAGAATTTCCGATATATATTTACTAATATGTAAAGGATATACAGTGCAAAAATATCTTTCAGAGTCCATTAAACAAAAAGTGGAATTGCTGCAAAAAATTGATAAAGGCATATCCTTTGTTTATCTAAACTTTAACATTTGTTTATCTAAACTTTGTTTATCTTTAACGCCGCAGCGGCGTGCAATGAATTGGAAGTTGATCTGTCAGCACTATCCTTATCTTAAGGGCAGATGTTTTTATTTTATTTGGCTTATAATTGCTTACTCAATGTAGTATTTCATCTCGATGTACTCCGTCTTTGATATGATTTAAATCAAATGCCTCGTCATTATAATCATTATAATTCGCTTCCGATAGCGAAGAAAGTGACAGAGGTTATTGAAAATGAATAAATTTCGATTGACAAATTAGTCGGTATTCTCAACACAGCAATTATAGGACTTGAACAGCGGAACTTTGTAACTGAACAAGAAATTATGTCTGTTTATAGAATTAAAGAGAATGTATTATCACATAAAAAACGAAGCAACTTAAACAACTTACATTGAAAGAAATGTTTAATAAAGTAAACAAATAAATATTAAGCTTTTTTTTGTAAATTTTGATACCCTTTAGATCATAATTGTTCTTTATTTCATAAATTACGGTTTCATATTTTTAATTTTATAATTTCTGCATGCCATCTTACCAGATTTAAACTGATGATCTATAATCCGGAAAAATCGATAATCCGGAATCGCCGAAGTCCCGACGAGTCCGGATTAACGACTTTTGACTGTGTAACCAAACTGTTGAACTTATAATTTTAAACAAACTGTTTACTGTTCCTCTAAAACACAGTAAAGTTTCTTTTAAATTTTTTTTCATTCTAAGTGGTCAAGAACTTGTAATTATAACTAAACTGTTAACTTGTAATTTTAAACAAACTGTTTACTGTTCCTCTAAAACACAGTAAGTTTTATATATAAATTATAACTAATTATAATTTTAAAAAAACATTCTGTGAACAAATACTATTTGATACTGATTTAAGGTCTGATTTAATAATCATTTGTTTTTCTAATTTACATAACAATTGTATAAGTTTAATTTTTTTTTTTTAATTAAAAAAGGAAAGAAAGAAAAACTGCAGCACCATACATTTTTTTTTTTTTTTTTTTTTTTAAGAAATGTTACATATTTCTATACCTGCAAAATGTCAGTTTCCTTGGTAATTTTAGATCACTGAAGAGGTTCCAAAGTAAGTAAATGGTTTTGCATCAAATACCAACTTGTTTCAGTATATGGGAGCTGGACTCTGATATGCCTTGGTAATACATATGCTAAAATATTTCTGGAAGACTTTGATAAATAATATTATGCTAAGCATGATCATGGGAATATAATAAAAAATAAGCCCAATGCAGTATTTTGTGGTTTGATTTAAATATACATTGAAATTTCTATTAAAATTGAACTTATCTCTAAAAAAATGGAAGAAGAAAGAGCAACTGTTCAGCATAAAAATAAAGAACATTTAAAATATATCAGTGAGTTGTTCAAAATTTGAATAATGCTATTATGATTAGTTATTAGTAGACACAGAAAGAATTTCAAATTTATTGTAGCTTCAAAAAAATTATATTTTTCAGCATTAATTTCAGTTAAAAAAAAAAGCTAGGTTTTAAGCATTTTAAAGAACGTTATGCTTTCATTTTTCTTGCCAAAGCAAAATTATTCAATTAAAATAGACAGCAATTTCTGTACCAAAAAAACAAGCTTTATGCAACAAAATAGGCAACATAAAAGTAAAGAGTATATCAGAAGTGTTTGTGGGACCCCAAAAAAATCCCCTGAAACTTTTACGGACTTACTACCGGCATTTTGGAGTTTCGAGAAGGGGGGGGAGAGAAATGAAAAATTACAATTATGAAGTATTGAATGACCTAATTATAAAAGTTCAATGAATTACTTTTTTTGCAAAATTAATAACCATAAATTTTCAAACATATAAACTACTACATTTTATGTAAATACTTTAAATTACCTGAATTAATTCTTTAAAAAATTCTGATACCACTGCTGCTTCTTGCCTAGAGAGAGATCTGCTGATCAGAACAAAGCTGAAAGCCTCATGTACGCATGGTTGGCAAGTTTGGAAAGTTAGTTCTTCATGTAGCTTCGTGTAGAGTTCCTGGGGTTTTAACCCAGTTAATATACTTTAAGGTTCCAGTAAGCCACTAAAGCACCAGATGTGATAAGCTGCTTTGTATTATTTTAAGTCTCACTAAATGCAAAGTTTTACATTAATTTTTACACTTTTGTGCTGTCTCTTCCGACCACGTTAAGGATTAATGAAAGGCAATAACTCCCTTTAATATGCAGAGATAACTCTTAAGAATGAGCAGTTAGTTACAAATTAAAGTAAGCAGTTAGATACCCTTAGTTATTATAGATTTACATAGCCACTATTAAATTATATTTATTTTAAAACATATTTGTTAAAAAAGCCATATTAGAATACACATAATTTATGACATTCATTCTTAAAAACAATATTAGGATAATTACACATTAAAAGCTATAAAACATTTATGTTCTGTAGCAACAACACTCAACAAAATATTTATGCACTTTTTTAATTTCAAACCTTCCCAGACATTTTGGCTAATTTATATAAATTTCCTTCTCTTTAAGCATTTTTTCTAACAATTAGACATTTGTTTCACACTGCATAAACCAATGTTTCCACTAGTTTCTGCAGGGGTGTTTGTGGGACCCCAAAAAATCCCCTGAAACTTTTACGGACTTACTACCGACATTTTTTGGAGTTTCGAGAAGGGGGGGGGAGAAATGAAAAATTACAATTATGAAGTATTGAATGACCTAATTATAAAAGTTCAATGAATTTTATTTTTTTGCAAAATTAATAACCATAAATTTTCAAACATATAAACTACTACATTTTATGTAAATATTTTATTTATTATTTAAAAATTTAAAAATTATTTAAAAAAAGTTATCTAATTTCTGCTGCCTTTTTTTAAATATGTTTTCCAACTTCTGTTCATATTCAGTAATAGATCTTTGTGAATTGGATCAGTCATTGGATTTTTTGAACCATATTTTTCACATAAGGTTTCTTTAGAAGCCATTAAATCATATTTAATAGTCTGCACTGCATCTAGGGAATCAATCTTAAGAGAGGTTCTATAGTCAGTGACAAGTGTATCCATTAAGTTGAATGCACTTTCCACTAATGGGCCATGGAAGCAGATAAGGCAGGTTTTGACCAATTTAGTCAATGTAGGATACTTATAATCATTTGTGAAATCATCTTTTGAATTAAAAACTTTAGACCAATATTTATCAATTGTACACTTGACTTGATTTCCACTTTCATCAGATGTGTAGAGCATTTCTTTGGTGATATCAATATCACTCTGGTATAACCTTATTTCAGCTTCTACTTTTGACTTTCATTATCACTAAAAATATGGGACATAAAAGATGATAATTTTTTCAAAAACTAATATTGTACTGGTTTTACCTCTTAGCTCTGGATCTAATGCTGTTAAAACTAATTAGATATGAATTTTTAAGGGGTAATTTCTGTTTCATATGCTGTGCTGTATTAGTAAAAGCTTTTTCATCAGAGAAATTTGGAATTCTTTTGCTTTTGGATGATTTTTTTGATAATTTCTTCAGGAGAGTAGAAGCTTAGCTTCTGCACCAGTAAATATTACTTTTACCTTTCCTAGGTAGATGGAATTCTGGATTTGTGACATCAACCTTTAATAAATCATTATAAGATGTGCACTCTATATTTTCTGGCTTCATAAAAAAAGAGAAAAATTTTGCCATCAATTTATAAATACTGGAATGTATTAAATGAAGCATTGGTTTTTTTTGTTTTCAAATAATTTAATATATGTGTTGAACTCTGGTAATACTGCTGAATATAATGCCATATGCAATAAAGTTTTCTTTTGCATAACAAATAACCCATTTAGTATTCTTTTTTTCCGAGCTAAAGCATCCTTTGTGAGTTGTTGGGAATACAAGCAAGAATACACCCCTTCAACAATTTTTTTCTCAGCTGCAGAAATATTTCTTTTATTGTATACAGTTTCAACATAAGAAAAATAATTCCCTTTATCAGTATTATCCAAGTAGTGAAAATAAAATACAATAAGAGCATCCCACAGATCTTTGATTCTTTCTAAAACACATAAAATGTACACCCACCTATGGTTTGGTCTCTTCAAGGGCTTAAGTTTTTTAATGGCAAGGGATTCACAGATTTTGAAAAAATTTTTCTTTTACTGCAGCTTTTCATATCAAAAATAGATGTCATCAAACAAAAAAATCTTCTAAGTATCTATCAAAACATGAAGCAAATTTTTTTGCACAGTTATTAGCTGTGTGACATGTGTCACCATCAATGTCTAATAAGTGGGGTGCTTTGTTTGATCGTAGTCTGGTTTCAACACCCTTTTTTTTTCCACGCATGGTGTTAC